TTAGAAATTTACATGCTCTTTTGAATTCAAGATCACCAATTTTTTTCTTGTAGTTTGTTATTGAGAGGTTCTTCGAACTTATAGAGTGAGAGTGCAAGGGAGGAACAATAGAGATTAGAGAAGGATGAAAGAAACAAAAGAACAATAAGTAAGAGTATCATGAAATAATTTTTTGTGTAACTAAAGAACATTATGGTGACATTTTGAATAACCAAGTGAAACAAATAAAATCTTATCGTCTTATTACTTTGAAAATTGAAAATTGAAGCGTTTAAAATGAAGAGAGAAGTGTTTTTTTTTTTTCTTTTAGATAAAAAAAAGAAAAAATAAAAGAAGAAAAAATGTCAAAACATGACACGTGGCACTTTAAAATTCTTGTAAATGTTCCTGTTTTAAAATAATATATATATTAGACAAGATTTTACACAATTCAATGTTGAGATCCCATGAATTTTCACTTATACATAGAGAGAATCTTATTAGATTCCCCTTATTATAAAATTTTCCAATATACATACAGGGCTTATGTCTATATCTATCTTCTAACGAATCAAAATTGAGCCTTTAAAAAAATGTCTATATAAAGATCACTTTGTACACCCTAATGGCCAGCTATGATTCACTCCAATATGGATCTCTTTTGTTTACCTTACAAATTCAAAAAGGATTGTTAATTATACTTTGCATGTGAGTCGTTCTTTTTCATAGCTCTACTTGTTTACCCATCGTACAATCATCGAGTAGTTTACTCCCCCCCCCCCCCCCCCCCCCCCCCCCCCCCCTTTCGATATAGAAGACGATGCCTAAAATCCGTGATCATGCCAATCATTCTTCTTCGTTACTCCCAACTAAAACATTATCTAAATTAAATTAGTACTATTATTGAAGATCGATTTGGTATCGACAACTCACAACTTCACAAAATGTGTACAATAATAATGATTAAAAAGGCCATAAAAAATGTTAGACGACAGAGAAGAATCTTAGATTACAGAGAAACAAGTATGGTACGTACTACGTAGTCAGGATTTCATTAAGAATTTGATCGAAATCATACTTTATTTGATTGAAAATCTCTGCAGAAATATTTATGTACAAACAAATGATCGAAGAAGATATGGTTGTCAGGATTTTCTTTGGTTTTGTAAAGCAAAATTCTTTAAATTCTTCTCACATGGAAAACCAAAATCACCGAATATTGTCAGGTTACATGAATATACGTTCTGATCTTAGTATTAAAATGGTCAGTATGTGTATTTGAAGGCAGAATCTATTTTAAACAATGTGCACACCAAAGGCAATAATATTTCTATCATATGTTTATATTTATCAAATGCATATGTCGATTAATTAAAGTTTGTACAAAACTATGATATTATAAATCACTTTATATAGGAGTATTTGCTGTACGACAGAGCTTTTCCAAACAATATTGCCGTAGTTAACTAGTTATGAGCTACGACAAACACTACCCTCACGTCCTAATAGGGATGTCAATATTAGATGGATATTCGCTAACTCGATTCACCTGCTTAAAATAAATGGACGAAAACCCGAAATAAATGGATGAAAAGCGGGTGACGGATAGAGTGGATGACGGATCGGATGTGGATGAAGATTTTTTCACCAGCTAACCATCCACCCACCCATTTAACATATATAAAGATTTTTAATCTAAGAATTTTAATTAAATTTTTTTAAAAATATACAATAAAAATACATTATTTTGTTGTAAGTTAATTTTTTCAAAGAATATGTAGTTAGTGCTTCCTTTTTATTTGAAAAATAATAATAATTCATGGTAAAAATAACCATAAATTAAATTTTATGTGAATTTTTTTCATAAAATGTTCATCCATTAGTCACCCGATCCACCCGTTTCATCCGTGGATGATGGATGGACGGATATGGATGATAGGTGAAGCGGGTGATGGATGGATGGATATGGATGAAGCAATTGGAATGATGGATGGATGCGAGTGAAGCTCCACCCGATCCGAATCCGATCCATTGCCATCTCTACTTCCTAACCAAAGGTTGTTAACACAGTAAAATGTTTTTCTTATATATGAAGTATAATATTAATGATGTGGTGTTATTTATTCAATATTATGATATTCAACTAATAATATTCATTTTAATCATCCATATATCATTTAAATATCTTCCTCTACCCATCAAAAATATATGGAACACTGAAATATTAGACCGAAATATATATATATATATATATATATATATATATATATATATATATATATATATATATATATATATATATATATATATATATATATATATATATATATATATATATAAAATTGTGCCTCTCTCTGTATGGAGAGGCACTAAAAGTGAACAAAAATTTTGGAGATATATTCTAGAGTTTGACTGTTATTTTGGTGAATGTAAACATAGTGGGCTCTTCACTAACATGGACTAATAATCCAGCCCAATAACATAATAGTTGGCCTCAAAAGTTTTGGAGATCCAGGTTAAAAAAATTAAGCCCTTACATTTCATTTACACTTGTGTAGGTGTTTGTTGGAAACTCTGGAATATTAGACCGAAATACAATCTTTAAAACATTTAATTTTCATAACCTTACAAACAAGAGTACAACTCTAATCTTCATTCCTACTTCATATAGTAGTTCTCTTAATTTGCAGGACTTGCATTTCTGTAATACGCAGCTTCCAAAATCAAACTTATGAACCTTAGTATCTATGGAGTACAAACTAATTATCACTTATCTAGTATTCAATGCTAATCGGACTTTTCACTACACCTTGAATACCCGTTTCAAATTCTCAACAATCTAGTATGGGTTTGGAACTTTGGACACTTGGGATATTCATTGAGGGCAAATCATTGCATATTTTCACTTGATTGCCAAATTGAAGACTTGAGTAAGGTAACTTATACTGAGACTAATCATAATTGCTACATAAACTTTCAATGGCATAAGAGGCGCGTCATCATGGCATTTCCAATGTCAATTAAGAAGTCAAGAAAGAATGGCAACATCATCATGGCATAAAAATAGCAAGATATTTAACATTTCAATGGCCAAAGGAAATAGCCGCTGAGAAGCCCATTTCAGTAGCAATAAGTAACACTCAGTTATTAGCCTTCATGGGCTCGGCAATGAATTCCGATCATGGAGTATTACAGTACGTTTAGAGTTGATCATGGTGGCTCGGCTCAATAATTTTTTCCGTTCATTCTGATCGGGCACGACACAACGTTACTGGATTTTTGGACTGACTTTTTGCGGCCTGGAATGTGGCATGAACTCCATGTTGCACACAAGAGACCTCAATTTATCATATTGTCATCACACATCAGACAATCTGAGATCTAGTGGTACCAGACTCGGCACTGATTGCGCGTGGCAAAGGTCTCAAGTTATTCCTGAGTGTAGAAACACAAACTCAATAACTACTACTTATAAAGATCCTAAAAAATCAGAAGAAATTTTCCACATGAATGATGTAAATCCAGCATACTCTAGAAGGCAGCTTTTACATCTTAATGCAGAAGCCAGCATCTTTGTGATAGCAATTAGCAACCGCTTAACCCCTCTATAAATGGAGAAACCTGGAAAATACAGAAACATACCATCAATGAATGGGTCAGACCTGCATTTTTTTTGCGGTTTACCCAGCCAGTGGTGCTCATATCGTGCCAGGAAACCTGATCCAGAATAGTAGTAGATGAAATATTAGGCTAAACAGTGCAGGAAAGTTGAACCAAATTATCAGTAGGTATCCAAATCATACACATGACTTAACACAAAGGATTGAAGAGAGAGCCCCAGAACAAAGATCCAGCACATTTAAATTCAAGTTCGCTTTCATAGAAACCCTTCCATCAGCAGCACAATCCTGCAGTCCCTTGCGCCTTGATTAACAGTCTGGGGATACAGCTCTAGAAACCAAAACAATCTCAAAGCCAGCTATATATATCACTGAATAAATAAACTTTTGCAGCAAACATGTCACCATAGTTCATGTAGAAGCTCACATCAGCTTCTGATAGTCCTCCCCACTAAAAACTACGCTCCTAAAATAAACCCGGAATGATATCCATGTATTAAGAAGCGTACATAATACATGGAACATATGCTGCAGTGAGAACAATGAAAATTGATCTTCCTTAGAATAGGAGCCTAACTATGAGATATCCGTATAATTACTCTACGACACTGATACAACAGCAATAAGAAGTCAATAATAGAATTCTAGAAAAAGTCCAGCTCAAGAGCAGGGACTTCACTATATACTGACAGATAAATGCAGTTACTGTGGGAGATGTTGATGCAGAAAATATAATTGAAAAAGCAAGCATCAATACCAGACTCAGTAGGGAAACAAATAACAGGGTAAAAGAAAATAAAAGGCAAACATCAATACCAGACTCAGCAAGGAAGCAGAAGTCAGTGTAAGCAAAAATGTACCAGACTAAGCAATAACAGGACGATCCATAATAAAGCAAGCATCAATGCCAGATAGCAGATCTACCAAAATCAAAGACAAAAAGAGGGAAAAAAATAGCTAGGTCCAAAAATTGGACATAAATCCATAGTTCATCTTCATTTGTGTTTGGTGCAACAACGTTCTATTCCTATGCATCAGCAAATTAACCGAGCGTCAATATCATTTAACAGAAGATAAAGCCATAGGCTTGACAACAAGATTCTAGAGTGATAACAGAAAGGAGTGTTGAATTAGCATAAAAATTTAAAACAAAATTAAGATATATTCTCCTTCCCTAATGGCCCAAGAAGAAAATTGGTTCAACAGAAAGGCAATAGTGAATAGCCACAAAGATTACTAAGACCTGTGGTCTGTAACCACAACAGATATATCTGATACAGATTCTCACATAATCATAGGTTAAGATTGTTTGATGGCCAGTACCATGAATGATTCTAAACAAACAGAATAAGAAACTCTTCCAAGGAAATAATAACTGATCTAATCCTAATTGACAAAAGATTTGCAAAGTACGTGTATTTTTTTCTTTGAATTCAAGTATAACTTATAGCTGTACAAGAAGGTAAACTCAACATTGAGGTTTTCGGAGTTACAGTTTATTGTACAAGAACTCTCAAAAGAATAAGAATATGCAATCCCTCACCAGTTAAAAAATTAAGTAAAAAATCAGCAAGGCTAGGTGCTAACAAGTAACCCTATAATAAGTATAGTGTTGAACCATAATTTGCAACAAATTGAACCAAAACCTCACCGGAAATTCTTTTTCCGGGACCTGAAAGAGTACTGAGAATATTCCATTGGAAGCTGAGGAGGAGCTAATTCCCCAGAGAGCATTCCTACAACTTCTTTCATAGAAGGCCGGCGAGCTGGTGATTTCTGCAGGCACATGAGAGCAACTATGGTGCAGAGTTGAGCTTCTTCTCTGTTCAAACAACGAATTCTCTTGTCAACTAAATCAAGAAGCTTTCCAGAACGAGCAAGTTGACGCGCCCATGAAACAAGGTTTGCTTTGTGGAATTCTGACATGGGCGAGCCAGTCACTTGCAGAGGCCGCCTCCCAGCGACAAGAACCAAAAGCAACACACCAAAGCTGTACACATCACACATCTCAGAGAGATCACCACCACTACCATACTCAGGAGCAATGTAGCACACAGTCCCCCTCATACTAGGGGTGCTACTAACCCCACCACTCTTGGGGATCTCCCCACTCATTGAATCATAGCTCGTATGACGGGCATTCCTAAGATCTCCACTAAAACCATCCAACCACCAGTCAACACTACTCCGGCTGCTCCTCCTACTCCTACTATACATCTTGTTCTTCTTCACAGCATACAAATCATCATCCCTAGGCCACCAATTCTCCTCATTATCACTTTTAGACTCTTGATTCTTCTTTTTCTTCTTCTTCTTCTTCTTCTTCTTCCTAGCAAGTTCCTCACCATACTCCTCCTTCCACCATTCCCTCGCCGGCCTCCTTTTCTCCTTCTTCGAACTCCACCCTTCTTCCATCGATACCCACCAATCCAACGTCTTCATCTTCCCTTTTGCCTTCCCACCTTTCTTGGGCACTACAGAGCTCGACGAAGCTCCCCCTTTATTACAATCATTACCTAAACCCTCCCTCCCAACCTCCATTCCCATCCACTCCATCACATAATCCTTCACCCTCCCAGCCCCCCCTCCATTGACATTCAAACTCCGCGCCTTCCCCACCTCTTTTCCAACCTCTTCCAAATCCATCCTATTAAACTGACCCTCCAAATCAAACCCCTTATCATTAAACTCTGAAGGAGACGTCTTCGCAGTCACCATCTCCGGCGAGGTCTCAATCCTCATCGGAGACAGATCAATCCCAACACTCCCCTCCTCAAACCCCGCCGTAGTAGTCACACTCTCAGTTTCCATCACTGACCCAGTATCCTCAACCCCAACATCAACATTATTATTGCAATCAATACCAACATTAACATTATTAACAACATTATCAACACTACCATTTAAACCCCCTTTAATCCCCTGATTATCCCCAGCAATATTAACTACAACCCCATCATTAATTTCCCCCAATTTTAACCTAGCAAGTCCAAAATCAGCAATTTTAGCCCTAAAACAATCATCCAACAAAATATTACTAGGTTTAACATCACCATGAATTACAGGAGGATCACAACAATGATGCAAAAACGCCAAACCTTGAGCAACTTCAACAGCAATCCGAAACCTGTTAGACCACTCCATCAACTCCTCGCATTTCCTATGCAACAAACAATCCTGCAAATTACCATTTTCCATAAGCTCATAAACCAGACACATACGACGTCGTTTCCGAGACGAAGCAAAACCCAGAAGTTTCACAACTCGATCCGATTCAACCAGCTTATTCGCAATCAGCAACTCGTTCTGAAACTCACGCTCACCCTGAAGGGATCCACAATCGAGCAACTTAACTGCAACGGCTAGCTTCCGGGTGCGAGAAACAGAGATAGTGGCAGAAAAAACGGACCCAAACCCACCTTGACCGAGCCGGCGGGAAGCGGAGAAGTTAGCGGTGGCGCGTCGGAGAGTAGAGAAGGAGAAACGGCGAGGAAGAGTGGGTGAAGAGGAGGAGAGAGAAGGGGAGCGTTTAAGGCGGTGGAAGAAACGGCGGAAGAAGGAGGCGAAGAGGAAGAGGAGAGAGAAAGTGAGGGTCGCGCCGAGGAGAGGTGGGAGGAGACGAGAAGCAGTGATGTGATGACGGTGGTGGTGAAGGTGAGGTGAAGGAGGAGAGAGAAAGATGGGTAGTGAAGATGGTGAAGACGCCATTGATGAAGGATGAAGAAGAAGAAGAAGAAGAAGATGATTAAGGGGTTCTGATAAATCTGGGAAATTGATAGAGTGAAAGAGCCATGGTATTGTGAAATGGCCGTTGGAGAAAGAAAAGTAGGAAAGAGAAAGAGAAAGAGAAGGTACGGATTACTAATTTAGGAATTGAGACAGAGGAGCTGTTTCTGTTACTCGAGAAGAGAGAGAGAGTATATTTTCTTTCTCTTTCCCCCTCGTTTTCTGTACTCCTACGCTTACCTGCCTTCTTTTTTTGCTTCTTCTTTTTCTTTTTGTTTCTTTTTTGGACTGAATTTGGATTTAGATTTTGAGTTGTTTTATGAGTTTTATCCATGGACGGATGGACCGCGTTGTTTTATGCACGGACCACGGCTCGTAAGTCGTAAGGGAGTTATTCCGGCTTAATTTTACGGGTTGATGTTTATAGAAAGAAAGAACGTATTATTTTGTATTTGGAATTTGACTTGGCTATTTATCTGCATTAGTTGGAGTGTAGTCTACTCCACTGGTGATTAATTGAAAGAAGATTAAAAATAGTTGTTATTTTTGTCAAGGGTTTTGCTTAGACAATGAGTGTAGAGCATGTGATATCCACTTTACTTAGCTAAAAGTAGGTAGAAAATTTTTTTAGGTGTTTTGTGTATTGTTTAATAATGATTTAGGAAATCTTCCAAATAACAATAATTCTTTGTTTTATCAAACTTATGAGCTTATCAATTTATTATTTCATCAATCTAAGAGTATGTGACTACCAGTTAGGGATTCAAACCATAAAACTAATAAGTCACTAATTTATTACAAACTCATATAATTGTTCTTGTATTAATTTAATTTGACAAATCTTACACGTATCATTCATCTCCAATATCTTGAATGGTTAGTTTTAACGTTTTCGGCTCTTCTAAAGACTTAAAATGAAAATCAAAATACTATAGTCAAATAGGACTCTTTAAGTCCAACTTTTAATTAAACAAAGGGTCCAACCAAGCAAGCTATCCACGTGTGAGATTTGTTTTTGATGCATAAAATCTAATTATATAAGGTTAGATATATATAGTTGGTTGGTATCATTTCTTGTTTGCTTCTTCATTAGTCTAAATTTTTAAACTTTAATACTTCAATCAACACATTGTAATATTCACCTAAAGTAAGCCAACGAACTAGAAAAAAAACACCCAACCTTTTCTCTCTCCTCTATATTTTTTTTCCTTATATTGTTTTGACAATTCTTAACCATTATGTCAACTTTTTACTTCATTTTAATTGTTAATACCCCACCTTTTTTAGAAGCATAGCTCTATTATCAATTTTGCCGACTATTACTATAGAAAAATACTCACTTTACATATAAGTCAAATTTGTGAAATTCTATTCCTACCATATAATTTTTGTATGAATAATATACACCTTTAGACTTAGTCAACCATGTCATTTTATGTGAGATTAATCAAGGATTTTTCAACATTTGCATGGGTAGAAATGATCAAATAAGTCATTGTTACAGCTCACATTAGATATGATCATATGACAAAGACATGGAAGTATAGCTGTATGCTTGAATAGGGAAGATTGAACCCAATCAGTCATCATTCGATTAATATAGAGTAAATATAAAGTAATTACGTTGACAAAAACACAGAAAATTACGCTGTCTAAAATGTTCTACTTCTTACATATAGAAGTTAGTAGCGTACCCCGTCTCAAACACGCAAATAAAACTTCCCACATAAAGTTTGTCTAGTAATGAATATGTTTCTTTCTAGCCTTGTCGACATTGTCGTACAAGTATGGAAAAAAAGGGATAGCAATTAAAAATTTTGTGGGACATAAAGTTGCTATGATAGCCTTAGTGAGTAATCAAAGAATGTAACTCACAGCTCTAGAATTCAAGGTTAAGGGAGACAAAAGGCAAAAGGTGCATAAACTTTACGAAATATTCAACGATGAAAATGTGTGATCTTCGGTCCATCTCTTCTGAGATTAGACTCTCTTCAAGCTTAGTGCCATTATTTTTAAGGTGGGTAAAATCCCATCAATCAATTTGCATTATTCATAGAGTATTTAGCACGGCAGTACGGCACAAAATAAGAATGTTCATTAATGATTAACTAGCCTTCTAGCCTATGTAATGCACGGGTTGTTCATAAAAAAAATACATTGAGAGATGAGTACGTGAGAAAATACCAATAAATCATTATGGGTGTAATGTGTAACCGAAAAACTGATTAAAGAAATTAAATTTTTGGAACTTTAATTCAAAATGAGGCTTGAAAAAAAAGGTGGACGGGCTAAAATTAAAGAGAGAAAACGAAAAAGTTGAATTGAAGAGGGGAGATGAAGATGAAGTGTTTAATGAAAGAGTTAAGAAAGACATTGTAAAAAAAAATTAAAAATGTAAGATTACATGTGGCACATTGGGTTGGAAAAGATGATAGGGAAGTGTAATAGGATGAAGACACGTGTCTTTTCGAGTTTGAGTTTTTAAATACTAGTGCCTTCTTTGGTTACACTTTACTAATGGTGGAAATAGAAATTCATGGGAAGTGAGTATATGCATAGTTGTTTGGTTGACATATATGAGGAAAGTTGAATTTCCTTGGTAAATGGAAATTCCTTCAAAACATGGGAATTTAATTCCCCCACTATACCTTGGTCAATCAAAATTCCCTTATGTATTTTTGGATAAAATTACAATTTACCCTAAAAAAATTAGAAAATATATTTATTTATACAAAAAGTAGTTAAGGAAGTCATAATACATGAGAAATACATAAGCTTAACCAAACAAACATAGGAAATTAATTCATGGGAAATTCAATTTCCTTCATATCAACCAAACATGATTTTAGCATTTCTTAGGAATATTAACTTCCCATGGGTTTCTATTTCCCAAATGCAACCAAACGAGGCCTAAGTATAGATTGCTAATCTAATCTACTACTCGGATCTATTCATAGACTATTCAAGTCGGGTCATATTCATATATAATCAATTATAATACATTATCTAGTTTTTAGATAGGTCGGTTTCTTTTGAGTTTTTTTTTTTTTTAGTGTGGTCAAATTTTGGTGATTTAATATCAATTACACTTCGAGTTGGAATCAAGCAATTTGAATAAAGTACGAGTAAGTTTTGCAAAATCTAATTGCAAACTTGTCACTTATCTGAGAATAAAGGCCATTGATTGAATTAATAAATGATAATTAATTTGCATACAATTATGCACCAAATGTCAGTATCTATGTCCGTGATAATTCATGTCCACTCCCAATAATGCTTTTGGCTTCAATTATTTTCCAACCATTATCAGCGAAAGATAGTGATGCACTGATAAGACTGGAAGAAAATCAATGAAGTACAGAAAACTAGACAGTTGGATTTCTTTTCCTTGGGGCAACATAACTCGGGATTGCGAGACAGACGCAATATGCTACCTATGACGGGATCATATTGAGCTGGTGTCGTACAAAACTACTTCCGATTGATTAATAACTGGCACAATTACGATCACATTACAGATATACACAGCTGTATTATGCAACATGATTAAGACCTGCCATACTGATTTCGAATGATCAAGGAAACGAACAATGGTAAATGAACTTGTAACAAAAACCTATGAGCAAAACACCAAGATCAGATGAATTGAACTTAGGATTAAGAACATAAAAACAGCTACCAGAACCATTCGTTTTTTGAATCCAAAGCTTTTACATTAGTTGATACAAGAGGAAGAGCACCATACAGGGAAATGAAATCGTTCAGGCATTTACGTCTCTTGCTACTGTGATCTTTCAAACTACTAATGCCATATGAGCCAAGCTCATGTATTTTCCCTGCAAAGTAAAGAATTTTTAGTTGACGCGACAAAATTTTAGTGACTAAAGATTTTCTGCATGCTACAATAAAAGAACAAAGTCTGAATGATTTATGACTATAGCTTTTCAATTGGCTGCCACAATAGCTTAACTGGCTTTGACAGCTGAAGTCCCAAGAATCTTTCCTCTGGCTAATCACAAGCAAAGTATAATAGTATTACAGAGAACAACTTCAGTGGATCCACTGATAGACATATACGACACTAATTTCATTCTCCAAGTGATGTCACTTAATAGGGACAATGCAGCGTTACACTGATAGACATTACAATTGGGTATATCATGGGTGTGTTTACCAATTACCACACAAACAATGTTTGAATCCTGCCAAGGGGCGTGAGGAGCTTCCCTTCCCTCTCTCTCTCTCCCTGTTCCAATACACGCACACACACCCCATAAAAAATAAAAATAAAAAAGCCAAATTCTGCTAACCCACTTTCGGACACTGACAGCCCACAGAATCAAGTTTCCAAGCTCATTTTAAAGATTAAATTTTAATATTCCATTACACAATGTATTCTACTGAAAATCTTGGAGGTGATTAACAGAACAAGAAAATGCAGAAGGCTAAAATTTCAAAGGAGGATATGTTACTAAGCAGCACCAAACTGCAACGAATATTTACTCTACAAAGTCTGTCCCCAATAGCAATGCAAACTGTGGCTCCCATAATCTCCTATGATTCTATGAGTATATGAAACTAAGAAATAATCAATAGAAACTCACTCCATCCGCCCCATAAGGCCATGGTACTCTCTATTGGTATGGCTTATCATCTTTACTTGTTCCCATTAAGCTAGCATTGGTTAAATCTCAGGACAGTCATTATGAGATAGAGGGAGTGCCGGTGTAAATTCTAATCACACAGGCTATAAAGCATAAATATGCTCTTAATCAAAATTAAAGCAAGGTTCAAGTTCTTGCGAGACTTTGAGATAAACCCATAGAACCTTGCTGTAGTCTCATGACTAATATAGCCTTCAGATACATAGCTTTGACAAGTACACAGCTACACAGCCACTATCTTGAGCTCTTAGTTTATTTATAAAAAAAAATAATAATAAATTAAAAAAAAAAAAAACTGAGTAATAAGGGAAACATGGTCTTGGGGCGGATCATAATAACATCTTTGAAATAAAGCAGCACTTACCCTTGACCCAGATGGGAGGAGCAGCTGTGGCATTGGCGACAAGCAAGGACATCGCAATATCTTCACAGTTCCTGTGATGGAATTAACAAACCAGGAACGTGAAAAGGTGGAATTAACCTTGGAAAGAGAAATGATTCAAAGTAAGAAATTGCCCAAACCTCTCTCTTGTTACATAGTCACGGATGGATGCTGGCATCTGATTGGTATACATATCAAGATAGTTCCGATGAAAGAATGCTGCCTTTGACAAAACCATACTGTAAGTACCCGTCCACCAAACAGACCACCATCCTCCATAATCATAATACGCATGGGTATTCTTCTGCCATACAGAAAAAGGGTGGGTGCGTAAGAACCAAAAGCATAATATTTTGATAGTCTGACAAATACATCATCTCAATTCAATATTCTATCTCCTTACAAAAGTAAAGTTTAATCCTCTGCACCACTGTTCACACAAATCATCTATTCAATCCTATCATAACTTTTTACCCTCTATCCCATCTTAATGTATCTATTGAATAGTTTTCAACAACGCATAAGAGTCGTGATTTAGCTGTTTCTTCAATTTCAAAACCCGTGATGACCTTTAGAGAAACAATTTAAGATCTTAATACTGTGGCTATTGTTTTTGAGAGAACCTTTCTATTGGGAATTAATGAAGCTATTCCTTCCCATCTCCCTTCAAAAATGAAAGTCCTAATGCAACAATTTTCTGGAAGGACTCTGTAGCCAGCTCCGGCAATGTCCACAAGCAAGGTGAAGGGTGAAGCATACTTCTTTTGACTGGCCAGTAAAAATCTTACCAATGAAATTGATTGATGGTTAAAAAAAAAAAAAAAAAAAAACATAAAAAAAAAAAAAAAAAAAAAAAAAACATGCATGATTATGAATGATGTTCGAGCTTATAATGTCACCTCTCTAAAAAGACTCCCCATCATCTTAAGACAGACTATTACTTTGATACATGTAAACCACATGGTGGCAAAATTCAGCTTCAGTGAAGTTGTCACTCATCATCTTTCATATCTACAGCAATTAGGATATCATACCCAAAAACTAGTTTCGGGGGAGGGAGGAAATGGACATATGAACTTATCAATAGGTCTACCTTTTCACCCAGCCAATGCATGCGAGGAACAAATCCAACCATCGTTGACGGAGCAGTTTGCCACACGGTAAAAGCAAAGTCTAGTGCATCACAAGGTACAATGACATCATCATCAACAGAGAAGATTGCATCAGTCCTCAGGTCCTTAATTGGTTTGAATCTGTTGTTGAGATTATCTTCCTCGTTCACATTAAACTTAAAGTTGGGTTTCCGAGCTGTACGGGACTTCGCTATCACAATTTTGTTAAGATAGTTTTTTAATTTACTTGAGGGACGATCACTCTCACTCCATACCACATGTATTGCATCGGTACCATGACATGAAGCATAGTGAGCAACAGACTGCTTTAAAAGAGAATTGCGCTTCCATGTATTCATGAGTACAGTATATCCACCTCTGTGAAGGAGGAAAAAATGATATAGGAAACAAATTAGTAGAAAACAAATTTACTCCAGCACCTTAAATTTCTTTCCAACCCAAGAAGATGCTATATGATAAAGTTCTACTAAGGACTCTAAACACTCAAGTATACGTAGCTTTGTACACACATACACAAGCAGAAATGCAATTACAGTGCATGCTTCCCCACCCCTGCACATGCACACACATATAAAGGAAATATAGTCAGGAGTATACAGCATATAACCTAAATGTGAAATGAAAGCAAGTGCAAAAAAAAATTATAGTAAGAGGCAATATAACACTAAATATCAATCTATCAGAGAGGTTACTATAAGATCCCGGTGGTTTCGAAATTACATATAATTATATACTTATAACTTTCGTATACATTCCAGAATATATAATCTATCTACCATTAGATTTGGCTCAAAATCTTCTTTCCCTTGACAATACAGTTCATCCAACAAACTGAGCCACTTGAATTTTCATCAAAATTTAAGCAAGCATAGAAAACAAAATAAAAATTTTGTATTGATGATAATAGAGTATGGAGTATTAAGCACTGCATACAAAGGGATATGATTTCCCTGAACTCAACAAACTCTTACATCATCATTTCATCATTACTTCAGCGTAAGAGCTGTAACAACCAAACAAGCTTAGTCCCCATTGAATATCACATTAGCACCTCTACATTGCTTACCTTATCAGAGGCATAACATGGATATACAATGCTTGGACAAGAATCCATTGAAATTTCAATACAGATTTGCATTAAATAAGATTTGTCAAAAAGAGCTAAAAATAATCATCTTTCTATAATATTGTACTCTCCGATCAAATTCACTTAATTGTATATATTGCCAGCTACAGGACCACCAAAATGACAATCACCCAAGTCATTAGGAAGTAAGAGTCACAGTATAATTCCCCCAAGTAAAAAGTTGATTTAAAGTCTATACTCTTCCTTTAGATCTCCTCCTATTACTTCTTTATATCTCTATTCAAGCCCCAAAAACTACTTTGATCCAGAAATTTGAATGATCATCCACCAAGTGCCGACCCCATTTATGGGATTAAGGCTTTGATTGATTGATTGATCCACCAAGTGCCGAGATAATAATCTAAAACAGTAGGCAATGAAAGCAATCATTCCACCCAACAAGCCAAATGAGTGACACCTTCCCTAATTGAGGTCCAATATACTAGTGCTAAATTGCACTATACCATCCATGATCCACCACTCTTTCACTATATATCATTCCCCAATTCCTATTTTATCAACAAAATAACAATTTTTTACAAACATATACTTCGTATCATTCTAGTTCTCTAGATTAACCCCCAAAACAGTAGTAAACTTCAAATCATTACAATTTACATCGATTCGCCGCCACACCCGAGTTTACTACATAATTCTTGCTATATGCCTAAGACTCTAAGAACACACTATCTAAAAACCATATCATCCAAAAGCTAAAGCATACTGCTTTCATAAATTACACACCTAGTATAGAGAAATCCCATATCCACTCAATTTAACAATAGTAGTAATTGGAGCTTAATATGTTTTATATATATATATATATATATATATATATATATATATATATATATATATATTAAAGTTTTCCATATTATAAGTGACATTAATTTCATACCAATCTCGATTAAACCAAGATCTTAATCCCAAATACAAAAGGCATATATATGATCATAATTCAGTTACTCAAATGCTAAAACCCAAACTAGAATCAACAAATGAAAAACAGAAATTTATAATTATGGCAGAAAAGAACAAATTAAAGAAATAAAATCACCTAGAAGGAGAAAAGGAAGAAGAAGAGGGGTGAAGATTCCAGCCAAAGGAAGAGGAAATTCGGGAGGAGAAAAAAACGACGCCGCATAACGCAAATAAAATGAGAAGGAGAAGCTTAAGCTTAGCGATATGACTGAGACGCCGGAAAATTTGGAACCGTTGATGGTAAGGACCTCTAATGGCGGCTTTTTCTTTCGCCGGAGAGTAAAATCCGCCGTTGTTTTCGCCGTCTCTAATGGCGATTAGGTTTAGTGTCGTCATTTTCCGGCGAATCTCCGGCGAAGGATTGTTATTAACGGTGTTGGATAGTTCGATCTGGTAGTTGAATTTTATTCGTTGTGAAAATTCCAACGGCACGCCGTAATATAACTATGTCACTAACCTTGCTGTTGTACCGTTGGTTTTTAAAGAGCAATTGACAGTTTTGTGTAGGTGATTTTGGGAGAAAGAAATTGGGTAGAAAACAAACAAAGAGAAGAAATTTGATTTTTTTGTCATATGTTTATGGACTTGAGGAGTTTTTATACTCTTACCAAATTTCTACTTTTATAGAATGTTTGTATACGTATAGGAATGATAATTGAGTGAGCTTGGATTGCTTAAAATCGTCTGTTATACTTTAATTTTAAATAGGCTCCTGCTTAATATTTCAAGTTCAAATTATCAAGAATCTCAACTTAACTTTGTATGTGTTACCTAGGCTCATTAACACCCGCCCCTTATCCCTTTTAGCTTGTCTAATCCTTCTCTTTTTTTTAAACAATTTACTTGCCACATTTTCTTTTTGGTAAATATCTTCATTAAACTTTTCATTTTCTTTGATAATTCTAACTTATGAATTGCCTAGTAAATTTTCAATAACCAAGTCATAATAGACTTTTGGTTCGACACAGAATATATATAAAAAAAGGAACAATAACATTAACCCAATAATAATATCTTCAAAATAAAGTTTGAGAAGGTCCAAATATATGTACTCTTACCACTAATTTAAATTAACCAAAAAGCTGCTTCTTCCCAATTTTTTTTTAAAACTCTACTGCAATATTGCATTCATTAATACATACCATATCAATACAATTTCCTCTTCCTGTAAAAAAAGGTCCACCCCTTGGTCTTATTCAGAGATAATAAAAATCCTTTTCCATTACTGTAACAAAAAAAAAAAAAAAAAAAAAAAAAAAAAAAAAAAAAAACCTAGTCCATGGTAAATAACTTGAACCTATTACTGTCCCAATTCAAACTAATGAAGTATCTTTATCCTCGGCGATTCTAATTGGACGGTGGCAACCACATCAACGCTACAGGACTTCTTACTTTGTGAGTTGCATCCTTCCACATTAAGTACCCAGCTTCTGGTGCTGGCTGCCTCGAAACCGTCTTAAATGTAACCTTGTAAGACAACTTCTGATACAGCTTGGTAAAATGCAGGACCTTTGGTTCAACGACCACTTTAGCACCCTTAAATGGAGTGACTCTCGCACGGTAACTCGATACAGGTTGACCGACATTTGTGACTGTCCTTTGAATAGTTATACTAGAGATGCTCGCATTTGATGAAAAGACAACTGATAAAGCAGGGTAGTTCAAGTCCCCTGCTGCCTTAGAAAGTTTGTTATGGCAAGCCAATTTACCACCTCTTGAGAAAATCTTGAGCTGTGTGGGAGTTGGATTTCGGGCACAGAGGAACTCGAAGTATTCTTGAGGGGTAATGTCGTAGACCAAACCCGGGTTGAGAGCTCTCACCGGGTTTATATGACCCGCCCCATGATCAAAGGGGCTTGAGGGTGTCTCAGTTGCAGCATCAATTAGTGGTCTCTTACTATTATCATGGATATATGCTGTAGTCATTAAAGCAGATTTTATGGCAGCAGGACTCCAAGTTGGGTGCCTAGCCTTGATCAAGGCGGCCACCCCACTAACATGAGGGCACGACATTGATGTACCCGACAGTACATTAAACTTGACTCTTCGTGTTGTGCGACAGCGGAAGCAAAGGTCGAAAACAAACAAGAAAACAATAAAGAAATTCAATGCAAACAATAAGAACAACACCAAGAATTTACGTGGTTCACTATCGATGTGATAGCTACGTCCACGGGCACCGAGATCGAATGATTTCACTATAAACTGCAAAGATTACAAAGATGATTCTTGTATTTCTCAAGAACGGCTCTCACTCTGTCTCTCTTAACCCTAATACTGATATTAGGGAGGTTTTATATTAATCCCTAATTAAAAGATACTTGGGCAAAAAGATAATAAAATAAGATAACCTAAAACCGCAAAATCCGCGTTCCGTATTTTTCCTTCTCCGCCCGGTCAGACCGGGCAAGGTCTGCCCGATCGGGCGCGAGAAGAAAACTCCATACGAATGCTTCAACGTATCCAACCCCCACCGCCCGGTCAGACCGGGCAAGGTCTGCCCGATCGGGCGAAGGCTCGCCCGGTCGGGCGAAGGCTCGCCCGGTCGGGCGCGAGAGCAGCTTCTTCAACGAATTTGCCAGGCACCTCTTCTTCTTCCGCCCGGTCAGACCGGGCAATGTCCGCCCGATCGGGCGGACAAAGCTACGAAGTACGAGTCACCTAATATACTTATCAACAATCTCCACCTTGACGAGAACTCGTAGTCAGCAAACGACCCCATCAAGACATAGTGAAAAAACATCTCAAGCCAAACCCGATGCAGGACTCATGCATAAGCCATACATCCCGATAAGTCTTCAACCAAGACCCATCACATACTCGTCTTCAAGTATAACAACTCATAATGCTCCACCTGCATCACAAGCCCCGGGCAAGCTCCACCTTAATGCCAACACACCTACACCAGGAGCTCCCCAACTTCGCCCCTCAGGGCCTACTACATCACGTAGTAATCAATATTTAGCAAGTCTAAGCAATGTTTAAACTTGCTAAACGGAACAGGCTTAGTGAAGAAATCAGCCGGGTTGTCAGCAGTCCCAATCTTCTTCACCTTAATCCTCTTGTCAGTACGTAAGAAATGATACCTGATATCAATGTGCTTCGTCCGATCATGGTGTACTTGATCTTTAGCTAAGCAAATCGCACTTAGACTATCACAATACACTGTAGCAAAATCCTGTGCAATACCCAGTTCACCTACTAGGCCTTTGAGCCAAATAGACTCCTTAGCTGCAGAAGTTAGAGCCATATACTCAGCTTCAGTAGTTGACAACGTAACTGATGACTGCAATGTAGACTTCCAACTAACCACAGAACCACCCAAAGTGAACACATAACCAGTCACAGACCTCCTGGTATCCACATCAGCTGCATAATCAGAATCACTGTACCCAGTGACCAAGCATTCCTTATCATTCCCGTACACAAGACCAATATCAGCTGTCCCTCTCAGGTAGCGAAAAATCCTTTTCACCCCTTGCCAGTGTTCCCTCCCAGGTCGAGCCATAAACCTGCTTACAACACTAACAGCATGCGCAATATCCGGCCTAGTACAGACCATAGCATACATCAAACAACCAACCGCGTTTGCATATGGAACTCTAGACATATAAGACAACTCCTCCTCTGATTGAGGTGACATAGACAAAGACAACTTACAACTAACAGTAGTTGGCGTACTTATAGGCTTCGATTTTTCCATCCCAAAACGAGACAAAATCTTTTCAATGTAGCTTTTCTGAGTCAAGAAAAGCTTACCTCTAGCCCGATCCCTGTAGATCTCCATACCCAAAATCTTCCTAGCTGCACCCAAGTCTTTCATGTCAAACTCCGAGTTAAGCATCTCCTTTAATCTTTTGTACCACTGTCGGGGGGATTGCTTAAGTCCATACAATGACTTTAGCAATCTGCAGGCATAGTGTTCCTTTCCAGGAACTTCGAATCCTTCGGGCTGCTTCATCAGAATCTCCTCCTCCAAATCGCCATGAAGGAAAGCCGTTTTAACATCCAACTGCTCCAGCTCAAGATCAAAATGTGCTACAATTGACAATAACACACGGATAGAAGTATGTCGAACCACAGGTGAGAATATCTCAACAAAATCAACCCCTTCTACCTGACTGAACCCCTTAGCAACTAGCCTAGCCTTAAAACGTATTTGCTCAGTTTCCGACAACCCTTCTTTCTTCTTGTAAATCCATTTACAACCCACAAGCTTCCTCCCTTCCGGTACTTTTACCAGTTCCCACACTCTGTTCTTGTAAAGGGACTGCATCTCTTCACCCATTGCGGCAAGCCATTGCGCAGACTCACTACAACTAATTGCTTGTTTATATGTGGCAGGTTCAAATGACTCTACATCATCAGCTACACTCAATGCATAACCTGTCATCGCATCAACACAGCAATTTCTTCCCTCCATCTCTTCAATCAATCTAACAGGCTTCTTGATAACTCGTTTAGGCATCTCAAGAATGGTGTCAGGTTGACTAGATGACCCCTGATTAGATTGCTCCACCTCATCCCCAGAGTTAGAATGAGTAGGAGTAATCTCAGGTTCAGGAGTACCCGGCACTGGAACATCAGCATCATCATCAATATATTGTACCCGAGGTAAATCAGCAATGGTAGACTGATGTACCTCAAGTACCCCATCTGTCTGTAATAAATTGTCTCCTTCCCTTCTCAAATCTGAAATCTCTGCATTTTTAATTGAATACATGGTGTTTTCATCGAAAGTAACATCCCTACTAAGAATGACCCGACCCTCCGAAGGTGAAAAAATTCTAAACCCCTTCACACCATCCCCGTACCCAACAAAACACCCCTTCTTGGCTCGTGGATCCAGCTTACCCTCAATAACATGATAATAAGCAACACAACCAAAAATCTTCAAATTCGAAAAATTAGGCAACTTACCACTCCAGATCTCAAACGGAATCTTGGAATCAATTCCAGAATGAGGACCCCTATTAATGACATAACAAGCTGTTAACACAGCTTCACTCCAGTACCTCCTCCCAAGCCCTGCATTGGAGAGCATGCATCGGACTCTCTCTAGCAGTGTCTGATTAACCCGTTCTGCTACACCGTTCTGCTGTGGTGTCTTCCTGACAGTATGATGCCGACCTATACCCTCATCTGCACAGAACTGATTAAACTCGTCTTTGCAAAACTCTAGCCCATTGTCCGTTCGTAGCTTCTTGATCTTCCTTCCTTGTCGATTTTCCACCAAAGCTTTCCATTGCTTGAAAACTTTGAAGGCCTCATCCTTTGACTTAAGCAACCTAAGCCATGTGTATCGGGACTTGTCATCAACAAATGACACAAAATAGTGGTAACCTCCCATACCTTCAACTCTAGATGGACCCCAGCAATCTGAATGGATGTAATCGAGCACTGCATCAGTGATGTGAGCACCCTTGCTGAACTTTGACCTGTGTTTCTTACCAAACACACAATGCTCACAAAATTCAAGGTTGGCAACCTTGACCCCGGATAGAAGACCCCTCTTGGACAATAGCTGCATCCCCTTCTCCCCCATATGACCAAGCCTCATGTGCCAAATCTTAGTCATCTCCTGGTGAGATACAGATGCGCAAACCGCAGAACTAGGCAGTGTAACACCCTCAAAAACATAGAGGGTGTTCCTTTTGATACCCTTAAGTACCAACTCAGAACCTCTGAAAATACACAACTCCCCATCTGAAAACACACCATTGTACCCCAAGTCATCCAGGGTACCCAATGAAATCAGATTCTTTCCTAAAGCAGGAACATGCCGTACATTAGTCAAAGTTAACCTCCGCCCATCAACAGTCCTCAACCTCATGGAACCAATACCTGTGACCTTACATGGAGCATTGTTACCGACTATAACCATACCCCCATTGCGAGGTTCATATGTATCAAACCAATCTCGACGTGGACACATATGGAACGAACACCCCGAATCTAGAACCCAGTTATCAGATAAATCATCAGACCTAGCAGAACTGACTAATGCTAAATCTTCCTCTGAATTATAGCTCTCATTCGGTTTCTCTTCAACTACAGCAGCCTGGGACTTGTTTTTCCTCACCGGACAATTATTCCTAAAGTGACCCGGTTCTTTACAGTAATAACATGTTTTAGTAGTAGTTTTACTAGATCCATCCTTGCCGTTTCCAGCACCCGACCCAGCATTGTTCCCCTTGTTAAACCCCTTATTCTTTTTAGACTTTCCGGACTTAACAAACAACCCACTACCATTATCCCCATTATCACTCGTAGCTTTCATTCTGAGTTCCCTAGTATGAAGTGCTGCCTTCACTTCTTCTAAGGTTATAGAATCCTTACCAACAACAAAAGACTCTACAAAATTCTCAAAGCTAGACGGTAGAGATACAAGTAAAATCAACGCAGCATCCTCATCATCAATTTTAACATCTAAATTACGTAAATCAAGCAAAATAGAGTTAAGTTTTTCTAGATGTTCCCGTAAGGAAGTACCTGACTGCATCCGGAGGCTAAACAACCGCTGTTTCAGTAATAATTTGTTGGTCAACGACTTAGTCATATACAATGACTCCAGCTTCAGCCACAATCCAGCCGCCGTTTCCTGATCAGCCACCTCCGTGATGATTTGATCATCAAGACTAAGTAATATGGTAGAGTGTGCCTTCTCTTCCATAACTTCTAACTGCGGGTCAGTCGGTCCATCTTCTGACTCCGAAGTAGTACTCTTTGGAGCCAACGGACGCCATATCTGCTGTTGTTTTAACAGAGCCTTCATCTTAATTTGCCATAGCCCGAAACTATTTTTCCCGGTAAACTTCTCAATTCTTATTGTTGAATCTCCTGCCATTGTTATCTTCAAGAAACTCTCCAAGGATTGAACCTGAGCTCTTGATACCAATTGTTGTGCGACAGCGGAAGCAAAGGTCGAAAACAAACAAGAAAACAATAAAGAAATTCAATGCAAACAATAAGAACAACACCAAGAATTTACGTGGTTCACTATCGATGTGATAGCTACGTCCACGGGCACCGAGATCGAATGATTTCACTATAAACTGCAAAGATTACAAAGATGATTCTTGTATTTCTCAAGAACGGCTCTCACTCTGTCTCTCTTAACCCTAATACTGATATTAGGGAGGTTTTATATTAATCCCTAATTAAAAGATACTTGGGCAAAAAGATAATAAAATAAGATAACCTAAAACCGCAAAATCCGCGTTCCGTATTTTTCCTTCTCCGCCCGGTCAGACCGGGCAAGGTCTGCCCGATCGGGCGCGAGAAGAAAACTCCATACGAATGCTTCAACGTATCCAACCCCCACCGCCCGGTCAGACCGGGCAAGGTCTGCCCGATCGGGCGAAGGCTCGCCCGGTCGGGCGAAGGCTCGCCCGGTCGGGCGCGAGAGCAGCTTCTTCAACGAATTTGCCAGGCACCTCTTCTTCTTCCGCCCGGTCAGACCGGGCAATGTCCGCCCGATCGGGCGGACAAAGCTACGAAGTACGAGTCACCTAATATACTTATCAACACTTCGTGTATCAGCAGACACGCCTGAGGGGCCTGTGCTGCCAGTCCAAGCTGCAAGGATGTTCACGCCAGGGGCTACCACATCCGGCTTCAGGACTTCCAAAGATAGGATGTTGGGTCCTCTGGAGGAAAACGCTGCAACCACAGGGGATGGTCTGATGCCTACTTTTGTGCCAAGGAAAGATATTGTTGCTGTGGCATTTGCACGCGATGCATAACGCTTTATGATGTTGCCTTCCTTTTCTCCCACTGCAACTGCCGGGAGGAGGTGACAATCAGCTACTAGCTCCTCACCATTAGCCGCAGTATTGGCTAGGATCATGCCTATTCCTCCAGCTTGTTTCACTACTTGACCCTTCTGAACTCGAGGGCTGATTCCACGGTCACAAATTACAATCTTTCCCTGAACTTTTCGTCGATCAAGAGTACCTTTTGAACCATGAAATAGGTAAACAAGTTAACAAGTGTACAAAACATTGCTATTCTATACTCTACAATCTACACTGCTTCAAGTAAGTAGAAGTTGTAAGTATTGGTATGCATACCTTCCAAGCACAAGGAATTTGGATCCGGACTCGTTGAGTTACTCCCCAAATACACAACCGGGTAAAGCTTCTTAGGTGACAAATGCATCCTCCCTTTATAGATAGACACCCCACTAAATGATTTTCCACTCCCAAGCCTAACATTACTTGGGAAATTCCTATCCAACGTACTCGCCCCGACGGTGGCAACCCACGGGGCGACGTTGGTAAGACTAACCGGTTCAGGCCCAGCATTACCCGCCGAGCACGAAACAAATACTCCCTTCTCCATAGCTCCAAATGTGGCCACTGATAAGCTATCCCGAAAGTACGACGACACACCACCTCCTAGAGAGATGGAGAGTACGTCCACTCCATCCGACACTGCTTGATCAACCGCGGACAAGATGTCTGAACTGAAACACCCCCCAGTCCAGCACACCTTGTAGGCGGCGATCCTAGCCCAAGGGTACATCCCTCGGGCCGTGCCTTGTGCGTAGCCAAGTAGGCTCGCACCAAGCACTGGAGACCCAGCCACAGTCCCAGCAGTGTGGGACCCGTGGCCATCTTGGTCCCTAGGAGACTTATACTCCATCTCCTCATTTATTTTCCCCGTGGCAGACTCATACCCCTTGTAAAACACCCTTGCACCAACAATCTTCTTATTACAATGCCGAGCCGGGTCAAAAGCCCGACCCCGCTCGCATGCACCCTTCCACCGGGCCGGGATCGGGCCATACCCCGAATCATTAAAACTCGGGCTTTCAGGCCAGATCCCGGTGTCCAACACCCCAACAACGACGTCGTAGTTACCTTGGGCTCGGGCCTTGTCAATAACCACTTCCTCCCGGTCCAAGCCCAAGAACATTGGGCTTCTAGTAGTATGCAGTTGGTACATTGTCTCCGGAAACAAAGCAACAACCCCATGATCTCGGCCCAATCTTGAAGCCTCTTCTTCCGTAAGTTGGGCCGCAAGCCCGTGAAAAGCATGTTGATAATTGTAGATAACCCTGCTATCTTCGACATCATTATCTGCAACAATCGAGCCAATTTTGGAAGAATACCAATCAAAATGATTAGTAAAAACCAATGGCATAGCTGAATTATCCATTTGAATAATATATGTTTTCTTTGTTGTTGAAGCAACAAAATTAAAACATAATAAAAATAACAAAAAACATACTACCAAAAATTTTGATTCCTTAAACATTTTGTTTTTCTTGTTAACTTTCTCTCAAAAAAGAGGAGAGAGAAAATAAAAATGTGAAGTGGGAAATGAAGAGTGGGCAAAAATATAAGTGTCGTAATTATGTGAATGTATTAAAGGAGGTGGGTGATGCCATGAATGCAGAGTAAAATAGGGTGGTACAGAAGATGGTGGTGAAAATTAATTTGGGATGACAATATAATGCAACATGGCATATGATATATGATATGGTCTTTTTTATTTTTATGTTTCAATTTTTTCATGTAATAGAAGAGGCACTGATTTTTCGGTCTAGGATAGAGTGTTTCGTCTAGACAGGAATTATTTATTTCGATGTTTTATAAACAGAGGTCCTGTCGCTACTTTGAATTATGGAGTACTAGAGAGTGACAGTAAAATTAATGTTACTTCGGGTTTGAATTATCAATTATGATATTTGCAGTTTTAAGGGTTGATTATAGGTATTAATGGATAATATTGTCGTTACGTGTTTTTTGTTTTTCCTACCATGCGTAAATTTTTATTATTGTACTCTTACAAAATTGGGAAAACTCTTGGCGATGAAAATTGATTAGTGCCTTTTGGTGATGAAAAAAATGAATGAAGGAATTCAGGAAAATATCTAGCAATATGAATTTATGGTGGATTGGTGGAAAGATGATTTCATTAAAAGTTAAGAGGGGTATGTAAGATTGGTCCCTACTGTGGCTCACGACTTACATGTAGCAAATGAGTTAATGACCTCATCTGAGGACCGCCTGCCACCTCTGGGTTCTTGCCAATGAAAAATCGGCTAACTAATGAAATTGTTTTCTAATAATCTTCTAAGATCAATTCTGATATATTAGCAAATTATGTGATAATTTGGAATGAAATACTCCGTAATAATATTGGATTACATATAAGGTTAAAATAATTTACTCATCTAGTCCACAATTTGAAATTTTGGGAAAAATACTTTCTCTGTTTATTTTTAATTGACATGTTTTCTTAGTCACGTTTGTCAATGCACAACTTCAACTATTCATATATTTAATTCCCGATAAGCAAAAATAATAAAGATTTGATATTTTGAAAATATTTTTTTTTTAAGAAAATACTCCCTTTGTCCCTTTATTTTTGCCCCATTTGACTTTTCACGGTCTCTAAGACACGTGTTAAATCGTTTATATCTCCATTTTTACACGTGAGAAAATCATAAAAAGTTGATATTAATTAAATATACAATGATACGAACCAAACAAGATTACACATGACTATATTACTTATTGTAAAAAAAACGAGAATTTATGGTCAAAGTTTTCAAAATTTGACTCAAATTTTGGCAATAGAGCAAAAAAATAGGGACAGAGGGAGTATCCAATATAAATAATTTCAGTTTAGTAAAAATAATTTCAGTTCAGCAAAAATAATTTCAACTCGGTAAAAATAATTTCACTTTAGTGAAAATCAATAACTATAAAGAACAAATATAAAGAATCAGTAAAAATAATTTCAATTCAGCAAAAATAATTTCAGTTCAGTAAAATTAGTTTCATATTAGTAAAAATAATTTAAATTTAGTAAAAATAATTTCAGTTCAGTAAACATAATTTCATATCAACAAAAATAAGGTGAAATGAACGAGGCCTTAATCTGGAATCGATTATAAAAAAACAAAGGAGTATGTAAAGATCAGTGATGTACACGTCCCTTCTTTCCATTGATATGTTTTGATTAGGTAGTCATAATTTAATCATCACGGTCTTGAAACCTTATTATACGGCATTCATACTAGTCAATTTGATTCTATGTCTCTCTGTGTCGTGTCACAATAGTAGTCAATTAGTGAACAAAAACATGTGTATTATTTTCGATCGGAAAAATTAACGAGTAGATAACATAGGAGTACCTATTCATTCATTAAAAAAAATTAAATAAATAAAGGATATTATTAAAGTACAGACAAACGGATCAGAAAAGCTTAGTTTGAATATTCAGAACGTTACAAGCCTACAACCAATTGATGACCCCATTTGTACTTAGAGGTAATAAAAACTGATCCAATCTATCTAATCCGTAAAAAAATCATAAAAAAATCCGATTCAAATTTTGACTTATATGAACATAATAATTTAGCATAACTTAACTTTGAAATAGACCCGACTCGACCTATATTAACCTAATCGAACTCGACCCAAGTACCTGAATAAACACCTCTATATATCTATCTATATTATTAAACTCATAGAAACAACATGCTAACGATATGTGTCACTCTTTAATATAATTTGATGTCACACATGTGCTATGTGTCTCCTTATGTGTCTTCACCCTTCTCTCACCTTATCTATAATTATCACTCATCTGTCCCTATTTTTTTGCCCCATTAAACTTTTTATGTTCTACAAGACGCAACTTAAAACGTAATTTACTCCATTTTAATATGCATAAAAATTATAAAAACTTGATATTAATAAATATACAACGAGACGAATATAACAAGACCCCACATGATTATATTATCTCTTATTGATTGATGAGAATTTATGGTCAAAGTTTTTAAAATTTGACCCATTTATTTGTGATTGGGCAAAAATATGAGGTCAGAGGGAATATCTAATATCATTTCACTAATAACTTAAGTCGGTCTCGCAGCCAGACCACGAGATAGTGCCACTTGGCATTTCAGTTTTTCGCCAAGTGTCAAGTCACGTAGGTGACATATAATTATTATTGTGACACATATGATACTTAGTAAGTGTGGGCTGATTACGAACAGTGACGCTAACTTATTGATGACTAGGCAAGGTCCCTAAATTATTTGACCGGAAACAATACTCCTTGGTGACTAAGGGATCAAATTGCCTCACTCAATAGTTGAGGGACTAAAATGCTACAATTACGTCAGTTTAAAGACCGTATTTGACCTTAACTTGCTAGATTAAATATATTTTTTAGTGATGAGCATTTTTTTTTATTAAATATTGAAACAATAGAACTTTTTGTAAGGGATTTCTATACTTTTGCCAAGAATGAGGTGTTTTTTTGTTAAGTATTTAGGAGTTAATAGCCTATATAAGAACTCTCACCGTGTCACAGTTACCTATTTTTATGGGCTTAACAGTTAAGGCAAAGTCATCTCGTCAACATAATTTGTATTGTAGAAAAAGAATACTCACTTGGACTTTATAAGTTGGAACTTGGAACTAAAAGTTACTCTATGTCTCTATTTGATATTTTTTTTTTACTACCTCCATATCTTAAAGTGTTTAACAAAAGAAAATTTTATTATGTCTCATAATTAATATCCCTTTGTTGCTCATAATAAGAAACATATGTTATAATTTATCTTTTAGAATCATCCAATTTATGAATGAACTAGATTAGTGCCCGTGTATCGTGCGATGCTCGAGAGTAATATCATTTTCTCATAATTAATTGTGAAATAATATAAAAATGAGGCGATTTGTGGAATAAAAAATAAATGCATATAGAAAAATAAAATAATAACGCAAAAAGTATTAAAACTACAATTGAGAAATTTTTTTATTGTTGATTAGTTGTGTTGAAAATATTTAAAAAGTAATATACATTATATTACATTAATGATGCATATCGTGACGAATCTAACAAGATCCCACATAACTATTTTTTCATTACGTATAAAGTACAAAACACGGTCAAAGGAGAGTGTGTGAATAGTGTTAAAGTCAAAAACGTGTCAACTAAAAAAAAACAGAGCTAGTAGCTATTATATTGTACTGTGAAAATTCACATTAAAAAAATAAATTTAAAAATAAATTCACATTGATAATTCTTTTGCAGATAATATCATTGGTTTGGGCTCACTACTCCATGACCGTATAAAATGTTCAGTGTTGATATGGGCCTGAACCTCCAAAAAGTCCTTTTGTTATTTGGGCTGGCAATTATTTTTTAAATTCCTTTTCGGTCTTCCACGATAAAAGAGTTAAACAAAACAAAAACAAATGGAAAAGTAAAAACCGTCGACAGCAGGGTTCGAACCTGCGCGGGCGAAGCCCAACAGATTTCAAGTCTGTCTCCTTAACCACTCGGACATATCGACTCTTGTGTTCAGATTGACACTTCTAATAAATATAAATATTTCGTACCCTGAAATTTGACATATTTCCTTGAAGTAATTTTCATGGAAATGATTTTTTATTTTATTTTATAAAGCATATAATTGATCAAACGGCTGCATATGTACTTCGTATCAATCATCTCATCTATCCACTCATATCTTATTATTTCGGAAAGATCTAAATTTAAAAAGAATAATAATATATGTAGCCCTTAGGGCTATATATAAGCATTAAATATACTTCTTAAAATGGAATTAAGTTGGGAATTCATGGCAAAATCACGCGAAAATTGGTGTAATTAATGTTACTTTATCCTAAATATTTCCTTTTTTAGCTTCTTATACATAGCCCTTAGGGCTATATGTATCATTTTTCGTTTAAAAATGATACCCAAAATTTTATGGAAATGAATTTCTTATGAAGCATATAATTGGTCAAACGACTACATAGTACACAGTATTTCGTATTAATCATCTCATCTACCCCCTTATATATTATTATTTTGGAACGATATAGATTTAGATAAGATACTTTATTTCGTATTAATCTATCTTTAGTTTCAACTACTTCCTTCGTTAATGGTTATTTGCAACAAACGTACCGTTTACGGAGGCCAAGGCAAAACTTTTAATGGGTGTTTAGGAGTGGGTAATTGGAAACAGGGGCATGTGATTAAGTCATTAAAAAAGGAGGGAAATTGATCCTTGTTTTTTTAGAAGGAGAGAGAATCTGCCAGAATTTTTGGGGGCCAATTTTTTCCCCCCAAAAATTTTATCCTCCTTTTTTAAAAATTCAATTTGTACCCAAATTTTTCCCTCCCTTTGAATTTTTCATTCAAGGTGGGTATTAATGGAACTTGCCAGAATTCATTACAACATTCAACAAAAAGTTCCAACATTTAATAACGCCATTGTTTCTTCATAAAAGTTAGACCTAAACTATCATCCTACAACTAATTAGTCCTAGGTCAATTACAGCATCTTCATCTTTTTCCTCTGGTTCAGCTACATCACAGCAATAAAAAAACAGCCACCCCACTTCATTACTAGCCCTAAAATCTGGGGAACTCAGCATCATCAGAATAGGCAACATGGCAAAAATTTTAGATGATGATTTTTTCAGCATTGATCAAATGCTAAATGATAAAAGCAATATGGAACACAGTCAGTCAAGCACCATGGAAGGGACTGAATACAATGACAACAATGTCATACATGAAGAAGCAATGCAGCAACCCAAAGGTAGAAAACAGCTCACTGTTTCCGAAAAAAGGGAACTTATTGATGCTTTTCTTTTGAAGCTAGAGGGTGGAGAATTGCCAAAAGGGTATTTATCACAGCAAGGAAGTAATTTCAATGTGCATAGGTCAACAATTCAGAGGTTATTCATAGACATAAAATCCCAAATGGCAGTGGGGAATGTGATAGATGTCAGAAGCAAGAAGCTTGGCAAAATTGGACCCAAACCAACAGAGTACACAGATGAGTTTCTGCAATCAGTCCCACTGTACAAGAGGACAACTGAGAGAAGCTATGGAGCTGCTCTCAAAATCTCACATGTCACCATCCATAAATTAAAGAAAAAAGGGGGACTCAGAACACATACAAGCACAAATCACCCAGCACTGACATCAAACCACAAGATAGCAAGACTGGAATGGGTTTTAAGTCATCTACTGCCTGCTGTAGAGAATGGGGACCCTAAGTTTGTGGATATGCAGCAAGTAGTACACATTGATGAAAAATGGTTATACTTGAACCCAGAAACAAGGAGGTTCTATCCCTGCCAAATGAACCTAACCCATATAGGTGCCAACAGTCCAAAAGGTTCAAGGTAAAAGGCATGTTCATGGCAGTCATAGGGAAGCCATATTTGACACCCATGGAGTAGTATTACATGATGGAAAGTATGAAATCTTTCCATTTGTGTATGAGAGCACAACAAAGAAAAAAAGCAAAAACAGGGAGGCTGGAGCTGTGGAAATAAAGGCAACACATAATGTGAACAAGGGGCAATCAGGGCAATGCTTCTGAACAATGTCCTTCCAGCCATCAAAAGTAAATGGCCACCCCATCTGTCCAAGGACATATGGATTCAGTGGGATAATGCCAGACCTCATCAAATTCCTAAGGATGAGGAATTTATTGCTGCCTATCAGTCAGATGGGTTCATATTTCAGTTCATTTACCAGCCAGCACAGTCACTTGACTTAAATGTGCTAGATCTTGGTTTGTTCAATGTCATACAATCCATACAATACCAGTCATTTCCTAAAAACTTGGGGGAACTCATAGACAAGGTCAAAGAGGCTTATGAATTGTTCAACCCAGTGTCAAACAAGCACTGTTGGATAACACTACAATGTTGCATGGAAGAAATACTGAAGCATCTAGGAGGGAATAACTTTACCCTACCCCACAAAGGGAAGAAAAAGCTGGAAAGACTTGGCATGCTGCCAGAGCAACTACAGGTGGACAGGAATGTGGTTCAACAAGCGGTTGATTACCTCAACACTATATTCATATCAACAGGTGAAGGCAATGAAGAAGATGAAGGCATGCAAGTTGATGCAGACTGAACACAAATCAAACACATGAGCAAGGTGACAGTGAGACTGCCACACATAACCAATGAATAGCAAGGAAGCAACTGGAAACCTAGTAGGTAGTGTTTTCTGTTTTTATTTTGATAATAGTATGAGTTTCATTGGTTAGGTGTATTTTGTTTACTGTTATGGTTATTATTATTGTAAGACAGTCTTAACTAGCTTATTTTGAACATGTACAAGCTTTTGATAGACTTTATGACATCAATTGTGGTTGGTTTATTTTCAAAAAGTGATTACTAAATTAGAGTAACTGTGATACACAGACACATACATCAATCCATCAGAGGGTGTTTTTTTTTCCACAGAAATTGCATAAGTGGTTCCCTCAACAACAACTCACATATGAAATTGTTGGAGCAATTCCAACTTATGAATTTTATGGATCAAATGAGTCCCTTCATCACTTGGATTTTTCACCCACACACAAAACAGTCAGGGACTCTTAGTTCACCTAGGGACAGACATCTCATAAGGGGACTCATACAGGGACACACATGCAGACCACAAGTTCATCATCATTCATCGTATCACAAACCCGAATGCCTTTGGTGCCTATTTTGTACAACCTCAAGTTCAAGCCAAACATAACAGAAACCAGGAATAGCCAACCAATTGACAGAACTCACAAATTGACACACACAACCAACAGAGAAAGAAGTACCCACAAATGAACAACTACAAACCTAGAGATCAACAACCTCAAGCCCTACATAACACAAACTAGGAAAACCCAACAACTAGACAACAATATCCAACAACCATAGCACCCAAATTCCCAATCACAGGCAACCAATACTAGCAATAAGTCTCAAAATAGCAAATAGAGCCTAATTAGGGCAACCAGTAACCAAATCAGGCTAATAATCACAAACCAGTTCAAACAAGCCACCTCTTCACCCAACAACAGTCAACAATTACTATCAATAAGTCTCAAAATAGCAATCAGAGCCTAATTAAGGCAACCAGCAAGCAAATCAGGCTAATTATCACAAATCAGTTCAAACAAGCCACCTTTTCACCCAACAACAGTTAACAATTACTATCAATAAGTCTCAAAATAGCAAACATACCCTAATTAGGGCACCCAGCAACCAAATCAGGCTACTAATCACAACCAGCAGATAAATCAGAGACTGAGAGTAAATGATCTTAATGAATCAATAAATTAAGGGTCAGAAAAGAGTTACGCTGCAGGATTAGTTAGAGCCACGGTTGGAAGGGTTGTAACCCCCACCACTTTCAACAGCCTCGTCAACAAGGGACTCAGATCTCTCCCTTTTTTTGCCAGAGAGAACTTGGGTAGACCTAGATCTACCCACATCCACCGCCTCCTGAACGGTTTTCGCTGGCGAAACGGCTGCAAAAGGGGGTTCAGCTTCCTCGCCCTTCAGAACATCGACATCAGGACCCTTTTTGGTCTAACCCTCACCCTTGTTGCCCAGATCTGCAGCCTTAGCCTCACCACGTTCCTCATTAGAGTCGTATGGAGCAAGCCTTGCACCCACACCATACGTACGCCTCATATCCAGGTAAGTAGCCATACGCGTTCCAATCAATCTCATCTTTCCAGTACGTCGCTGGCACTTGTAGGTCGCAATAACGTCCAGATCTGGTTTTTTTTTCGTTTTGGGAACTCATTTTTATGGGTTTTTGGAAGAAGAAAGTAGAAGAACAACCAGATCTACAGAAATTAGGGCTTCAACCAGGAGAGAGAGTGAGGTAAAAGAGACCGCTTTTGGGAGAAGAGAGAGAGTGAGGTAGGCCAAATCAAAACAACAGAAGAGGAGTGTTGGAATCTGGAAGAGTTTCCAGAAGTAAAGGGGATTTGTTAAACGTCGCCCGCAAATCTCCACATAAAGCCCACAAATATTTTTACTTTGACTCTTTTGCCCTTTTTCTAATTTTTACCGAAACCGTAATTCACTCTCACGAAGAATGTGGAGCTGGAGTGGATCGCCGAGGGACACCGAAGAGCCGTCATCGTCGCCGGAAAGCGAGATAATCCGGGGGAAAAATTACGAAAAGTAGGGGTGGCGTCTGGTCAGGACGCCGCCACCATGGCTGTGGCGTCCTGGCCAGACGCCGCCACCATGGCTGTGGCGTCCTGGCCAGACGCCACCCCTACTTTTTGTAATTTTTTTTTTTTTTTTTTTTTTTGTAATTTGTTATTTTTTTATTTATTTTTTTTTCTTTTTTTTTTTTTTGTAATTTTATTTAAACTTTTTGTAATTTTTTTTAAATTTTATTTAAAGTTTTTGTTTTTTTTAATTAAACATTAACACAAAAAATTCTGATTTAAAAAAAAATATATACATTAGAAATAAAAACATTAACACATAAAACAAAAATATTAAACATTAACAAAAGAATTCTGATTTTCCAAAAAAAAAAATATTAGACAAAAAAAAAAAAAAAAAAAAAAGTGGTAGGGCGCCTGGCCAGGACGCCCAGCCCCTGGTGGTGGCGTCTGCTCCGGCCGCCGGGACCAGGGGGTTGGCGTCTGACCTGGACGCCCAGCCACGGCGGTGGCGCCTCTGGAAAACGCCACAACCGTGGCTAGGCGTCCAGGTCAGACGCCAGCCCCCTGGTTCCGGCGGCCGGAGCAGACGCCACCACCAGGGGCTGGGCGTCCTGGCCAGGCGCCCCACCTCTTCTGGTTTTTTTTAAATTTTTTTTTTTTAAAAAAAACCCTGCCACCGTGAGCCGTCCTTCCCTCCGCCGCTGTGGCCGCCAAGTCCTTGCCTTGCCGCCTCAACATTGTCGTATTTTCGGGTGATTAGAGTGTGGGTATGGGTTAGATTTTTTTATTTTAGGTTTAGGGCAATAAGGTAAATTCAATATAGATTTGTGGGCTTTATGTGGAGATTTGCGGGCGATGTTTAGCAATCCACAAGTAAAGAGGCGTCATTAATGGAGGTGGTTGAAGGATGCATTGAAGAGGGTGGGTGAGAAGATGAAGAGAATCTGATGAATGAATGGATAATGGGATAAGTGAGGGTAATTTTTGGTGGGAATCATTAGGTTAGATGTGATGATAATAAGGATATTTAATTAGAGTAACAGATTAGGTTAGTATCTAATCAGTTTTTAACAAGGGCAATATGGTAATTTTGTAGGTTAAAAAGTTACTAAAAAAGGAAATAAAACAATTTGTTGCAAATGATAGGAAGCACCTACTTTTAGTAAATGTTGCAGATAACCGTTAACGGAGGTAGTAGTTAGGATAAAATTAAAAAAAAGGTTCCCCGAAACTAGTGTCAAAAACTGGTTCGATCCAACCCGAAAAAAACGCAATTCATATATCGATTCGTATAGACTTACTAATATATACGTAGCATGATTTAACTTTAATTAAAATAGATTCGACATGACTTGACCCAACCTCACCAAATTAACACCTCTATCTATAACATGCACATAATCATATATGGTCAAAATGCATATCGTTAGTAGATGTCAACCAGCTAAAATATTAGGGTGATATGCAACACATGGTATCGAACTTGTTTACATCAATGTCCTAGGCATGCCTTTTTTAATTTCTTCATTCAACCTATAGGGTTTCCCAATTCAGCAACTAGATATACTAGCTACTTTGACTGAAGGTAAAGAGTAAGACGAATAAACTTCATTGCATTAAGAAATCTTTAATTCTAAATTATTTCTAATATGTTTTACTTGTAACTTTTACCCACCTTCTTCCAAACAAGAAACAAATTATAGTAATTAAAGAAACAACACAACAACAATACCAGTAAATTAAACAAATCAAACTACAGGTACGAATTTTCACCATGTATTGGTGCAGAAGCCATACACATTTACTAGGTATGCCTTCCAATAACTACAAATTTGACTCTTGCTGTTTACCTAATTACCTCATAGTAAATGCGACCACCTACTAGTTTATTTATTAAAGCATGTCCAATAAATTTAACATACCACTTTTTTTAATGGCTTGTACTAGAATACTTTCTTATAATTTTCTATGTTCCATTATATTTAGAATTTATAAATATACTTCTTTCGTTCTTTTTTATTTGACCCGCTTTGACTTTTACACTATCCACCACCTCTCCTTTGATCGTCTTTTGTGAACAATATGTAAAAAAAAACATATTCATGTGGGATTTTTTTGAATTCATCTCAATAAGTACTATATTAATATATAATTTTTACTTATTGAAAATTAAATTTATTGATCGTTAAAGTTTTGCATCGACAAGCGTGATAAAAAAAAGGTCAAGTAAAAAAGAATAGAGGAAGTACTTAACTTCTACTTATTCTCATCAAAATAAATAAGTAAAATAGCCCCTTATTCTCCCCTTCATTTTATTTTTCTCTCTTCCATGGAGTTAGTTTCCAAACATAGCCAAAAATTCACCCTACAAAATTTTCACAACTTTTCAATATTAGAACATCTCAAGTTCTTAGTAATTTTACTCTTTGCTTCATTTGAATCATTTCTTATTTTCCTAAAATATGACATATTTTTCCATATTATTATTCTAACTATATCCATATTTTCATACATTATAGCTTATTATTTTCATTCAAAACCTCCTAACATATATCTAGTAGAATTTTCATGTTATAAACCTCCAAATTATTGTAGAATCCCACTTTCTTCATTTATAGAACATGTTCATTTAATCAACTATTTTGACAAAGAAAGCGCGGAATTTATGTCCAAGATCCTTAATTCTTCGGGCCAAGGCCCAGAGACTTATCTCCCACCACCTTTGCATTACATTCCTCCTAGGCCCGTCCACTACGACGCCATTGAAGAGGCTAAAATGGTCATTTTTCCTATGATGGAGGATCTTCTACTAAAGCCCAATCTCTCTTCTCTTGACATTGACATTCTTATTGTTAATTGTAGTGGGTTTTGTCCTTCTCCTAGTTTAACATCATTAGTTGTTAACAAGTTCAAACTTAGGCCCAATATTAAGAGCTTTAATCTCTCTGGAATGGGCTGTAGTGCTAGTATGATTGCTTTGGGCCTGGCCCAAAACTTGCTCTTGGTCCATCGAGAGTCGAATGCAGTTATTTTGAGTACTGAGATCCTAACTACGGGTTGGTATTCGGGTAATGAACGGCCCAAATTGGTACTAAACTGCCTCTTCCGAATGGGCGGGGCAGCCATTTTGTTGTCGAATCGAAAACAGGCCCGGAATAAGTCCAAATACCAAGTTATTTGGACTTCAAGGGCCCAACAAGCTGTTTACGATTGGGCCTATAAGTCAGCATTTCGAGAAGAGGATTCTAATGGGCTTACTGGGGTTACTCTTAATAAGGACATCTTAGAAGCTGCCTCGGATATGATTCAGGCCCAATTAATCGCTCTCGGATCCTTTATGTTGCCTACTTGGGAGAAGTTAAAGTTTGTTACATCTATTGTCAAGAAGAAATATTGGAAGATATCAGCTGAGATTTACGTGCCAGATTTTCAGACGATCATTCGACATTTTTGCTTGCCAGTATCCGGGAAGCCGGTGATACGGGAGATAGGAAAAGGGCTGAGATTGGGGGATAGAGAAATGGAGGCAGCTTTGGCTACATTGCATAGATTCGGAAACCAATCTTCTTCTTCTTTGTGGTATGAATTGGCTTATATAGAAGCTAAGGAGAGAGTGAAGAAAAGGGAGAGAGTTTGGATGCTTGGGATGGGAAGTGGGCCTAAGTGTACTAGTATAGTATTAGAATGTATTAAGCCCATTGTTGGTGAGTCCAAGAAGGGCCCATGGGCTGGATCCATATATAAGTATCCAGCTTTAGCATTTAATAGTTGAAAGAATTATGTTGACACTTCTATTGCCTCTCTTGAGAGTTCAGACATCAGCACATCAGTATACTACAGTTTTTAAAATGTGCTGTACTCATAGAACAATGTATGTGTACTGTAATTTTGAATTGTTGTAACATGTTTCACGTTAACTAGTAATACTCCTTTTACGCCTTTCCAGCGACTAAGTGTTGAGGAGAAGCACGAGGGATGAGAACGAGAAGAGTTAGTCCAACTACATTATAAATTTGCCCCATTCAAATAAGAATTGAATGAGCGTCTACTATTAAAATGAATAAGATCTTGACCACAAAGTAAGATCAAAGGTCTTACTCCATATAAGATTAAACGACTTGTACAAGTGTCCTATAATTTTCGCCAAGTCTGTTCACTTTGATTTAAAAGAAATGGATCGCCAATACACCAAAGTACCAAACAATATACAAAGAGACCCTTTATGTAAGGGGTAGTGCTCGCCTGTGAGGCTGTGAACCATTTAGACGTTTGGGCAGGGTGAAGAAACAAAGAAATAATGGAAGGAAGAATACAAACAGGAGAAATGATCTTTTTATCTGTTGCTTTCTTAATTTCTGTTTGGTGTCATGTCTCTTAATGTCTTATCCGTTGTTTTTAGCTTTCCTTATCTCATTGTCACAATCCCTATTTCAGAAACTTAACAAAAGCTAAGCAGAACTTGAACTTGACTAATTATGATTAACACCAAAGTATGAGGTCTTGGCTTAGTACCTAGTATGGTGCTCCTGGTTCGACAAATGCACCTGTGAAATGACGCGAGGACATGTGTAAAAGAAATTTGCCAAGTAGAAGGATTGTTTAATTACTCTCATGTGCATTCCCATGTACGAGTAAATTCTTGGGAAACATAGCAAAAATCATCTTGGTATTCATGTTATACTACTATAAACAACCTCACAAAATACTTAGTTCGTCGTATACAAATGAAGAAATTAGTGTGTCACTATAGGTAAACATGGTTTTTCCCTCAAATAAAACAGGTACAAAGGTGGTTGAATGTGAAATTTAGATTTTGAATCTGGATAAACAGAAAAAAGGTAAGCTAGTATGCATCAAGGTATTTCATCAACCTATGCATTCTAGACGCTTTCTATATTGTAGACTATACTCACAATATAAAGTACTAAATACCGAAGTATGTAACTACTAACTACTATTACCTTTTTTTTAAAACCGAAGTATATACAGAGTCATAAAACTTATAAAGGAGGAACTCCTAGTTAATCTTGAGCACTAACAAAACAATTCAAACTAGTATTTACGCTAGTACATTAGATATTATGTACGGTAACAATTCAAATATTATAGTGGTTTATAACTTTGACAATACCTTAAATAGCCGTGGATTGTGGTGAACACGCCACTAGTGGTGGTGGTCGGGATTAGCAAAATTTGGTTCATCAACCTATCAACCTTTCACAGTTTTTTCAATTAAGAGTTAGTTTTCACGTTTAAATGGAGAAAATAATATTAATTTCAAAAAAAATATTATTCCTACTTTATTAATAGATAAGCCGTGAAGCAACAGGTAGACTTCCACTGTTCCACATCTATATAACATGTGTATACATGGCCTAATGTTTTTAAAAGAAGGGCAAAAAGTACCAATGGCTAATGTCTGTATTCCTTTATATTTTCTGCTCCTCATACACCTATTTGGTTATATTATTCCTACAACTTCCCTTAAAAAATCAGCAATACCACCACCCTTGCCAATTCTCCCACTTCCTTCATACTCCCAACTAAAATGGCAACAAAGAGAGATCATCATGTTCTTCCACTTTGGTGTCAACACCTTCACTGACTCTGAATGGGGCACTGGCCACGAATCCCCGGCTGTTTTCAACCCGACTCATCTGAACCCTGACCAATGGTTCAAGGTTGCAGCTGAGGCAGGGATATCATTGGCAATTCTTACAGCTAAGCACCATGATGGGTTCTGTTTATGGCCTTCTAAGTACACTGACCATTCTGTTGCCCAGAGCCCTTGGAAACAGGGTCATGGGGATGTTGTTCAGGAGTTTGTTACTGCAGCCAAGGCTCATGGAATTGATGCAGGGTTGTACCTTTCTCCTTGGGATAGACATGACAAGAGATATGGCAACGAGAAGGCGTATAATGAGTACTACCTTGCTCAATTACAAGAGCTTCTAACCAGGTAACTAAGTCCACTATTCAAATGATTCACTAGGTAGCTATGTTACTTGGACTCGGGAACTCATTGGACTAATTAATGTGAGTTGTTCTGTTATCGTAGATATGGAGGTATCGAAGAGATTTGGTTTGATGGAGCCAAAGGTTCTAATGCACCAAACATGTCCTACTATTTTTGGGATTGGTTTGCAATGGTTAAGGAGCTCCAGAGTTCAATCAACATATTTTCTGATGCCGGTCCAGACGTCAGATGGGTGGGAAATGAGAAAGGATTTGCTGGGAACACTTGCTGGTCTACAATTAACAGGACATCGTTGTCAATCGGCAATGCAAGCATTGTTGAGTAAGTATTCCCTAGTATTCCCTATATGCATAAATGGTAAAACTAAAGAAGAAGCATGGTATATTTACTCATAGTAGCAATTTGATTGAATGGAGCTTCACACCATCCCAATCATTTTCCACTTCTTCATATGCAGCAAATATAGTGTCGTAAAGGAATGTTTGTATATCAAAAAATAGAATGTTTATTTTTCTGGTTCAGTTTAAGTTTGTATCATGAAAATATGGTTTATGTGATTTTTGTGTAATCAACAACTGATTTCTGTTACAAGTGCAGCTATCTTAGCACTGGAGATTCTAAAGGAACAGACTGGTTACCACCAGAATGCGATGTTTCAATTCGACCGGGGTGGTTTTGGCATAAATCTGAAGAACCAAAGAAGTTAAGTGAGCTCCTAGAAATATATTACAATTCTGTAGGAAGAAACTGTGTATTACTACTAAATGTACCACCAAACTCCAATGGTCTCATCTCCGAAATTGACATCAGACGGCTGACAGAGTTCCTAAGTGCAATCAACACAATTTTCTCTCAAAATTTAACGCAGAAATGCTTAGTAAAAGCAAGTAGCGAAAGGGGAGGAAAAGGAAGTAGTTTTGGACCAGAAAATGTGCTCGATCAGGACCACTTATGGACTTATTGGGCACCTAGTGAAGACGACAAAGAAGACAAATGGATTGAGATAAGGGCGGATAATCAAGGGCTTAAATTCAATGTAATCATGATCCAAGAGGCAATCGGGCTCGGTCAGAGGATCCAACGGCATGATATTTACGTAGATGATAAGCGGGTTGTGAAAGGGACAACCATAGGGTATAAAAGGCTTCATTGGTTGGGAGTTGGAGGTGTGCATGCCAAGAGGGTGAAGATCAGGGTAGTAAAGTCACGGGACTTGCCTTTAATTTCTTCTGTTGGATTGTTTTTTGACCCTTACAGTCATCCCAATGAGATTTGAGTGAAAACAAGAATTACAAATGTGCTTTTTTCATTGATTTAGGTTAATAATGACATCATAAGGCAACAAAATGTTTCACAGACGTACACAAAATTAATGGGAGCTTTGTTTTACTCATTATTTCTGTCTTTGTCTATCTATATATCCAAATTCCCAACAAAGAATTAGGAAGTGCAAGGAAACTTCACAAGGTTTACATGTGTTGGTTTTCCAAGTGGTATTTGAAGCACTCCTACAATAAACTTGGCTAGAAGTGGACATTTTCTACATGCGCAAGGCCCCCATCCGGCCATTACATGCACTCGCGCATGTAAAGCGTGTAAGTTCCTATCTCAATCCCTTTTATGGAGGGTACAAATGACCTACATTCCATACTACAAAGTACTTATTTTTCATGCTTAAATTTTTTTTTCCTATAATGGAGTCACGGGAGTACTTATTTTTAACTCTAATATGGAATATAGTGTAAGCATCCCAATGACTCAATGTGAGTTAAATGAAATCCAGCACTATTTTCATTCTACAGTAAACTCTTCTATAATTAAGGTGAACAATAACACTAAAAGTACTGCTCAAAAAGCAATGGAATGTGTAGCAGAAGTCTACAGAATTAGTGAAACACACGTGTAGTTGTTAGGATCATGCTTTACTGTCGGTGTGTAAGTGTAAATTTCAGTAATCAGTATCACACTTGACTTTATAAGATTCCCATGAATGAAGAATATGATTAGGTATTCCGCAGAAAAGGCTCTAGAAGATAAAAAGTGCAGAGATAAAAATAAAAGTAGATGTACTCAAAGAAGAAGAATAGGAAGAACAAATTATGCGCGAAGCATGAGCAGTTTTAATCCTTCCTTACGAATGGTGTAAAAAGGCAATGGAGCAATGAATTTGAGACAAAGGGAATATGTAGAAATATAGTTATGACACGCGCACAGAAAACCATTTACAGAGTATTTCTGAATTTGCTATAAATGAGGTATAGAGAAATCCATATCACACAACATTTTATATGCTTAGTCAATGTGTGATAAAAAGAGCACTTTGAATTAGTCACATTATAAGGAGTTTTTCTCTTTACTTTCTCTTTTCCTTTTATTTACCTTTCACTTCACTTTACTTTCATGAAGGCAATGCAAATGTTAATCATGTTACCATTATGAAAACAACCATAGTCTACCTCCATCCCAGGGCATGCACTTCACATAAAATTATAGTGAATATTTTACATCTGTTACAAATTTCAGATGAAATTCAATAACTTAAAAACCATTATACTTGCAAGATGGTTCAATTAATGTTTATTAACAGGATTAAGGGCATAACCTTTCATCAAAAAAGATTCAGGTACTGAAATTCAAATATACTTACTTGAAAAGAGATCAGGACAACTTCATTTGCACCTAGGTCTCACATAGTTTCTTTCAACTATATCCTCCAAATTCAAGCTTGTGAGAACTTTGGAAGTTAATTTCGTCACACTTTTACAGCTTTAACTTGCCTTCACTGGAAAGGAGCCAATTTCTTCTCCAAACAATTGGAGCATTCTACAATCTCAACTAACACAAAGAAAGAACCTTAAGATCTGGATAAGAATAAGTTGGAAGAGCAAGAAAAAAAGCTGAAAGATTATCAAGCATGTGTTAACATACAACAAACAAATCAATACCAATAATACCAAGTTTTTCTAGACACCAATCAGCATCTTCACAAACCAATTAGATGTCTGACATGCTTCTATGTGCAGAGAGCACCAAACTTGCAAATAAATATCAACCAAGCTTGCTAAACTATTCTGAATCAATGCAAATTATTATCAACAACTTCAAACCCTGATAAGATGTTTGGCATGCTTCTATGTGCAGAGGTCATTTTCTATGAAATCTTGAAATACATTAGTGGTCATCTTCTATGAAATTCCAAGGCTGCATCAGAATTAATTCAGTTACCAGAGCAAATCTATCCATAACAAGACAGTCAGCAATTTCTACATTGAAGAATTTATTATGCTAATTGTGTGGCAGTGTTATCAAACTAAAGATCAAGTCATCTAGTTTACATGCTAAATAGTGATGCTAACTATAAACAGGACTTTAGAGCCCGAAACAAGAAACAGCAAATCTTTTTCTTGAAATGACCAATCCCAGCACTAATAAGTTTTAATCATCTAACATTTCCATCTTCTGTTTAGAAATTGTAACAGCATCCAGCAACACAAGCACAGGACTGTTTTTTGTGAAAACAACAGATTGCTCTCATCTAGATTAGAGCTGTAGATGTGGATGATGCTTTCTAATTCATGATTTAGAAACCTGTTCCAGTTCAAAGATAGCTTCATTGAAGATGTTCTAAGAACAATGATATTTATGTCAAAGAAGCAGTGTACTACTCAGGCCAAGAAAAGTACTCTATTATGGAGCTACATAGTATCCTTTGAAATGCTTTAACCTACTTGAACTATAATCAAGTGTTGTCAAGAATAGAGCATTTATCACGATAGCATGACAAATTCACAAGTTACATCCCTTTCCCATATGGCAAAAGATGTTACCTTTATAATGATACAAGAAGTTATGGTCTTGACGTGCTTCTGAATTCTGAAAGAGTAACTTTTCTGAAAGCAGTGCAAGGCCTATTCGGCATTTGACAATAGAGGTTTGGAATAATGATCATTCTCATATTGGCAATGATTTTCCTGCAATAGCTTTCCCGTTTTCATGGAAGTAAAGGAAGCAATAGGAGTGATTCTCAGTTTATCAACTTGGGCACAGATGTTTGATTGGAGCTACTGAAAACATTTGCATCCCAATATCCAATAATATCGATAAACATTCACCATTTGTTGGCTAAATATCATCCAGATCATTTCCGTGAGAGCCTATCGTCATCTTATAATTAAGTCTACTCAATAAACAAACTAGTTCATCCATCACAAGTTCAGGTGATCCTCTAACAGAAAATTCATGAACAACACTATCAATTTCAATCATGCTGGAGCCTGGCATATCCTTTATGATTCCCTTCTCTTGCATGAAGGTTCTTACTTTCTTTACATCATCAAATCTACCAGCTTTAGCATATATATCACAAAGGTTAATGTAGAAAGCATGATTCAGGGGATCCAATTCAATCAATCTCAAAGCAACTTTCTCCCCTAGCTCTACATTCTTGTGCATTTGGCAACCACCGAGCAAAGCACCCCAAACATAAGCATCTGGGTCCATTGGCATGCCATTGATAAGCTTTTCTGCCTCATCAAAGAGCGCGGCTCGACTAAGCATATCAACCATACAAGCATAGTGATAAACACGGGGTTCAATAGAGTAAACATGTGTCATCATGTCAAAGCACCGGCGGCCCTCCTCTACTAAGCCAGCATGAGCACAAGCTGACAAAATGCCAACAAAAGTTACATGATTAGGCTTTACTCCCAGCTTTTCCATCTGCTTTAGAAGATCCAAAGCTTCTTTCCCAAACCCCTGAAGAGCATAGGCCAAGATCATGGCTGTCCAAGCCAAAACATCCTTCTTTGGCATATCTCTGAAGGTTTCGACTGCTTTATCCACACGACCACATTTACCATACATGTCAATCAATGCTGTTGCAGTCACCATATCAATCTCCAACCCACTCTTCTGAAGATAATCATATACCCAATCACCATAGTGAATTGCGCCAAGAGATGCACAAGCCGAAATAACACTAGCAAATGTCATCTTATCAGGCCAAACTACACCATCCCTCATCAGCTGCATTTCCTGAAACAACTCCAAAGCAACCTTTGGCTTACCAGCTTGAACAAAACCAGATATCATAGAATTCCAGGTATAAATATTCCGATCTTCCATCTTCCTAAACATACCCAATGCTAAATCAAGCTCACCATTTTTCAAATACCCAACAATCATCGAATTCCAAGAAACAACATCTCTCTCAGGCATTTCATCAAACAGCTTCTGTGCACAACCCAAAAACCCACATTCACATAGCAAACTAATCATACAATTCTCAACATATAAATCATAATTAAACCCAAATCTCACAACTTGTGAATAAACAGCCAAACCCATTAACCCATCAACCCTTCTAGTACACTCCTTTAAGATAAACGGGAAAGTAAGATTATCAGGGTAAACCCCATTTCTTAGCATTTGAATATACAGATTTAAAGAGGGGCAAGAATTAATGAACTGCCCAGAATATAATTTACTAGAATAAGCTCTAATTAAAGCATTATAAACATAAAGATTTGGTCTTTCCAAATGGGTAAAAACTTTGTTAGCATAAGAAAGGGAACCTGCTTCAGAAATGGCGCAAAAGAAGAGTAGACGAGTAGTGAGAAAATAACGGTCTGATTCTGAAATTTTAGGGGATTTTAGAATTTGGGCATGAATTCTTTTGAGCTGTTTCATGCTTTTGCATTGATTTAGTAAGCGGGAAATTGAGATTTTGAACCATGAAGTAAGTAATGGGTTCTATCATTGTTGCAGATTTCCCAGAACTTTTGCGCGGTTACATTAGTATTCAAAGAGTCGTTATAACTGTAATATACCAACTGTCACGGTCCGGGAGTTTGGACCCCGAAACGTGCGGCACGCTCTAGCCTTTTGGCGGCAAGAACGCTAGCCTTGAGCGGAAGAGGGGCTTGTGAGCACAAAGCAACACAAGCGGGCAATAGAATCTCAGGAGCACTCACGTCTATCTGGGCGACGGAGTGCGGGTGGTCGGGGCTTGTGACGGCCGATACTTCAAAGCGGGCACAAGCGGGTCCGAACCACGAGTCCTTAGCGCATCAAGTTGGGTTGGAGGGGAGCTAATATGCAAGTAAGACACAATATCTATAAAGGTCTAACAACAAACAAGCATAAAAGCAAGGCAACACTTGGCAGAGGGCTTGAAAGCTAAAGATTCCAATTTCTACATTTGTGAATTGTGATGAGGTTATTTGTAAATGTCATTATCAAGTTCACATTTTTTAATGAGCACCAAGAAGAAACCCTTTAGAAGAATTAGGCTTTTTTTTTTTTTCAATTTCAGTTCCGATTTCTTAAGTTCGATTCAATTTGGTTCACTTCAGTTTAGTCCGTATCTTTTTATCATTTGTATTAGTTAAATTGTTAGTAAGAAATACAACACAATTATAAATTTATAATAGCCTAATAGGTATTAACATAATGTTTAATCTTATGCAGCACTAATATTGGTCAAAGTTTTTTTTTTAGACAAACTAATCACGCAATCTTTTACTGTTGCTAGGAAAATCAAATAATGCCCTTCAATAAATTTTGGGCAAAAAATTAAGTCTTGGTGCTAAACAAATGAAACCACCCTAATCTAATAATTTAGTTTGGCAAGTTCTTCAACGAGATTTAAACGATTCATCTTTATATGAGTTAAGTACTTTACTACGAACTGTAATATTATAGAGGTGACAATCAGATCATTTGGATCAAATTGTATTCAATGTATCAAGTAACTTTCCTGTTTTTGTCCATAAACATATACTTCGTAATATTATAGCGACTTAGTTATACTTGTCTATCCGTATTTGAATTTAAATCAAGACGAACACAGTCAATTTCAATTTATATCATTTATTTTAAAGTACACAGACAACTTCAATTTATATCATCCATTTTAAAGTACGATCAAATAATTCCCTACCTCTATTATACAAGTACTACCCTAAAAGCCATGATTTTAACTTGAACTTTTGAAATACTATTTGGTACTAATATAGATATAGCTTACAGTTCAACTCTATAGTTCAATTAAATTCGATTGCCTATCCAATAATAGACCCGTTTCCATTTTGACAAATACATTCGGAGTATCTTTTGGAGAAGAAAGCTTCTCATCTTTTTCCGGGTAAAACCAATTTAAATAATCAATAATCACCTCCAAGGCTCCCAAAATTCACAGACAATGGCTACAATCTTCTATTCAAGCTTCCAGATTCTTCTACATCACCACCCTTGTTTTACCTTTAAATGTTCATTATAATTCACGCCCTTCTTGCCATTCAAGAAACAAAGTTTTCTTCAAACAAAAAAACTTAACTTTCCTCGAGAATCGTTAATCTTGTAACAAACTCAATTTACAAAAAAAAAATCATTTTTCTTGATACCCAGTTCATAAATGATCCATAAATTGAAGAATTTTGATCAAAGATAGCACATTTTCTTCCCCTAAAAGCATGGCGTCATGGTACAGAAGATCAAGGTTTGTTTACAGTACTTTTAGAAGCTTCAATTCTAGATTATTGCCTAAAACCCCAGTTCAATCTCCTGCTCCAAGAGTTGATTCCAGTTCATCTTCTTTATTTTGCAATCAATTTAAGTCTTCTGGGTTATTTGGGTCACCTTCAATTTCTTCTAAATTCGGGAATTTTAATGGGTTAAAGAACAATCAAAGTAGCTTGATTTCTGGTATTACTAGGAGAAATTACTATGTTGATAGAAACCAAATGTATCATTTTAAGCCAAGAGGTTTTAAATCATGGTTTCAGAATCCTAGGCATTTATTCATTGTAATTGTGATTGGTTCTGGTGTTGTGATTACTGTTTATTTTGGGAATTCTGAGATTGTGCCCTATACAAAGAGGAAGCATTTGGTGCTTTTGTCAAAAACCCTAGAGAGGCAAATTGGGGAAAGTGAATTTGAAAAGTTGAAAAAACAATGTAAGGGGAAAATATTGCCTGCAATACACCCTGATAGTGTGAGGGTTAGGTTGATATCTAAAGAAATCATTGAGTCATTGCAGAGAGGAATTAGCCATGAGCAAGTGTGGAGTGATCCAGGCTATGCCGTGGAAGGTGGTATCTATAACGAGGCTAATGGACACGAAACTCAGAAGGCGTTAACTGATAAGCTGGAAGAGAATGCAATTGAGGATTGGCGTAAGGAGGAGGAGATGCTTGATGATAATTGGGTTAAGGATAGTAGGAAGAAGGGGAAGGAGCATAATGCTAAGGCAAATACTGAGCATTTGGAAGGGATGAATTGGGAAGTTTTGGTGGTTGATGAACCGGTTGTCAACGCCTTTTGTTTGCCTGGTGGGAAGATTGTTGTTTTTACTGGATTGCTCAAGTATTTTAACTCAGATGTTGAAGTGGCTACAATCATTGGGCATGAGGTATACAATTACTTTGGTTTGCGAAATAGTTATATTGTTCTTTCTTGTGTTTTGAAAGAATTGTTTGATCATTAGTGTTGATATTTCAGGTCTCTTCCATGGTGGATGTCATTTTTATGTTGGTGTCTTTTTTGTCAGGTTGGGCATGTTGTGGCTAGACATTCTGCAGAACAGATTACAAAGAACTTGTGGCTTGCAATCTTACAACTGATCCTTATGCAGTTCATCGCGCCTGATTTTGCCAATGCAATGTCAAATCTTTTACTGAGGCTTCCTTTTTCTCGAAAGTAAGTCTGTACTCTTAATATGTTTTCTTGATAATTTACTATAGCATGTTCTTTGTGGAGTAAAAATCCCTTTGTATGACATAATTTTCAGTTTCTTTTATTTTCAACCTCTGTTTATTAATTTCCTTAGAATGTAAGGTTCTGTCCTACAATAAAATAATAACTTAGAGTTGAATTTTCTTCTCATACTACTACATACAAGTATTATCAGAAACACTTGTACACTTGAGGGCATATCATAAGCTTCACAAAGAAGGAGAAATTGAGCAAAAATTACTAGACACTGATGGTTTTGGTGAATTCTGTCATAGTTTTTTAATTTCTTAATTGTCCTTTTGCTTTCTGAGAATTGAATAAAAGAGAAGATAGTTAAAAAGGGATGGTTTCTTAGTGATGCAGTCTGAACTTTGAATTACCATTTTCTGATTTAAATTGGGGTGGGACTCGTGGGAGAATCTGGAGAGTAGTAAGGTGACTGACTGACTGGACTTACTGGAGAGGATTTGCGTTCAAACATTAATGACTATGCACAACTGATCATATGGTTTAGTAACTTTTCGTCATTTCATATTAGGACTTAGATCTTTAATTAATTGAAGTTAGTCATCGAGGCCATCTAGCTGCTTTTGTGTCACACTGTTACTGCACATACTTTGAAACATTTAACTTGTTTCATCAGACATTATTATCAGTTTTGACATCATCCACTCTCAGACTCTCTGATGCGCTTTTTAGTGGTGGAACCTCAGATTATAGATAGAGAAAAGTAGCTTTCATCTTTGTACATTTACATGTTATGTGTATTTACCTGAGACAGGGATTGCCACCTGTTAATGTTGGAAGTTCCGGGAAATATTTTGATATGTTTTCCAATTATATTTTCCAATTATACTCATGTTCCCATCTGTTGATCTTGACTTGGTTAGAAGTGTCTTGACTCAATGACTCATAAGCTCTTCCTTTTCAGATTTTATTTATACCTCTTCTTTAGGCTTTCATGCCACTTGGTGATTATACAAAGTTAATGTTGTTTTTCTTTCCTGGTTCAAATTGTGTTTCCAGCAAAGGGCATTTCTATGGATATAAAATTAGTTCTGTTCTCCCTGTGCCTCTGATCATGCTTTTAAGTTCTAACCCACTCATAAGCTCTTCCTTTTCAGATTTTATTTGTACCTCTTCTTTAGGCTTTCATGCCACTTGGTGATTATACAAAGTTAATGTTGTTTTTCTTTCCTGGTTCAAATTTTGTTTCCAGCAAAGGGCATTTCTTTGGATATAAAATTAGTTCTGTACTCCCTGTGCCTCTGATCATGCTTTTAAGTTCTAACCCACTTATAATCATGGATCGTAAGGCATTTTAAAAGTCATTGCATCAGAGAGAAATGATCATTATAGCTAATCATTGGTTTGCCACAGGTGTTAATCTTCCTGTTTATTGTCAATACTACTACTCCAACATTTAGTGATCGTATCAACAATTTAATTCCTCCATAACCGTTTTATTCCAAACCTTTCTGACTACCTTGCATATTCTTAATAATCTTGGGTTTTTGGTAAGGACATTGTTCTCTCCTATTTCACATCCCTCTCCCCTCTCTTCTGTGGTTCTTCTTCAATGATGCTTTTTAGAAGAGAAGATCAAATTTAGCATGTTTTCTTAGTGTGATTTGCTGCCCTTCATTTGACTATTTCTATCTAGTCATTGTTTAGTAATCAAATGTTTTTGCATCATTCTGGTTCTATTTGTCAAGATGGAACTTGCTGCTACAAATTTCAGAATTGCTTAGGCTTTTTTTGACATCTATTTTTGTGTAATCGTGTAGGATGGAAATAGAAGCAGATTATATTGGACTTCTTCTGATGGCTTCTGCTGGATACGACCCACGAGCTGCACCCCGTGTATATGAGAAGCTTGGAAAGATCTCTGGTGAATCAGGACTAGGGGATTACCTTTCAACCCATCCATCTGGGAAAACAAGAGCACAGCTATTAGTTCGAGCTCATATAATGGAGGAAGCAGTGAATATATACCGTGAAGTTGCAGCAGGGCGCGCAATTGAAGGTTTTCTGTAAGCAAAATCATCTATATCTCCAGCAACTTGGCCTGTTTGTGGTTTTCAAAATAACTCTTGAATCTTTTCATGCCATTATATCTTCTCTCTACAAAATTGTGAAAGGTTGAATTGAGTCGAGAAACCAAAATCACCTGTTTATGTTACATGGTTACCTGAATGAGTTCATCCGTTCAAGTTTTTCCATTCAGGACTCCAATGTCGCGATTTGCGTTTTCGCCCACACTTTTGGATGTGCCTTTCAATGGAAACCGGTTTTATCGACTGGACTGATTGAACAAATATTAGCTCAGACTAATAACTGTAATTTTATATATGTAAATCAAATATTTCTATATACATCTCTAATAATAAAATTAAAAAAAATGCAATCTTTAAAAAATCTGATTGTAAAATCTCCCAGTTTCAATCACAAATTCATTGAAAATCTGATTTTCTGGAGAAAATGGTGACCAAATAGAACGAAGCATAGTAGAAGTGATTAGAGCTGCAGTACTGTCAAGAATCAAATGCAACACGAACAACGAAGAAGAGATCTACTCTTGTGAGTCGACATATTGAGTCGGGGTATTTTCATACTCAATCGTTTTTCCACTTCCAATTCTTCCTTTTTTGTTTGCAATTTTACAATTGCTTTGAATTTCAATGATAACGGTTTTCGGGTTTATATTACTCCATTTATTCAATGACTATATGAGGGTTTTTCTTGCCTATCTTATTTTACATTAAATATATTGATTATACGATAATGCTTTAACGTACTCCGTATAAAATAAAGTTTAGAATATCAAAAACAAGTGTGAATTTTGATTGCAATGTAATTACTCATACTATCATTAGAATAGGTTCTTATAATTGGCGTAATGTGATTTAACTGCTGCAGATGGTAATCGTTGTCAACGCGTCATTGAAAAACTACTACCAGCTTTACTGCTCAAAAATAATTGGTTGTCGACAAGGAATAGGCTCTAAATTGAATGCTCAAGTACATTTCTCTTGATTAGAACCTTAACTAAAATGGATATTTTTTAGAATCTTTAAAATCGATTTGGATTGTAGTATAGGAACACAAAAGTTTTTGCAGTATAGCATGCTTTTCTATTATACATGCTTTTCAGTCAGAGTGTAAATCATACCTATTGACTATGTTTTTAGTTAACTTTTGGACAACACTTTGACATGAACACGTTGCATTTTATTATAGTCAATTACAGTAAGATGATAGCTACCGTGAACAAAAACAACTTACATTAATCTAAGATGATACTATGAAATTTGCGATTAAATGTGTATTGAGATATCGACCCATGTTAATGAATTGCTTGACTAGAGTTTCCATTTAATCAGGTAATGGTATGTATGTATTTTTATCACACCAAAAACGAGAGATCTCAAAAAAAAAAAAATTAATAATAATATTAATAAATTCAAAATGAAAATAAAGACAAAAAAATACAACACATGCTTTTCTTCATCAAAACTTTTTGCACCTTGTGCACGATGAGTCGATGAGATGAGAATCCTCTCTTGATATTTTTGTATTCTACAACACTTAACGACGACCTCTCCCTCTTCCACCACCATACCCATTAGAGCTGTACCTTCTATCTGAATATCCACCGCCACGGCCACCTCTTCCACCAAATCTAGAACCACCTCCATAATTGCCTTGTCTTCCTCTAAACATATCCCTTTCCTCCAATGGAGGCAAGATTTTAACCACATCCAAGCTCACCCCAGCAGCACTTTCTGAGCCTAGGATAGTAATCAGTGTTAGAGCAAATTCAAAAAGCCCACAATAGATCTTAACTCAGTAAAAGAGAGAATCTTAGTTGACGGAATATCTAAAATCTACATACCAACAAGAAAAGTTTCCAAATCATCAGCTTGGACGTCAAAAACAGCCCCTCGCTTATCAGCAGTGAGGGCAACACCCATCACTTCATTTGCTTTCCCCTCGGGCAAGAACCTCTTCAACACAGTATAGACAAAGCTGGATAGAGTAAAAAGTTAATACCAGCATTGTAAAAACCAGTTCACAAACAGTAATTGCTGAAAGCACTAGTCAGCAAATAATACGGCAAAAGAAATAAAGTATCTCTCTGTTGCATTCTCATTGTTTTACGTATCTTACTTTCTAATTTGGTTTGTTTCAAACTGCTATAAAAAGACAGTAACTTTCCATTTCTATAAATCTGAACTTATCAGAAAAGTCCACTAGAACAAAGACGATGTATATAACTAGGTAGGGAGCATCTTGCTGCTAAAAGTAACCAATCAAAAACAAAAGGCAAGGTTCAACAACAAATGTCAGTAATATCAAAACTTACGTTGGATTGAAAATCTCTTTCCCACCTACTTCAAGAAGCAAAGTTATACAACCCTCCATGCCTGTAAGAAGTGATCTTTCCTTTATATCCGAGTAACCCTGTCCAAAGATGCATACCTCGTCAAATTTAATTTAAGAGAAATCTCAACCAACACAGCATAATTGCAAAAGATCAGATGAAGAAGCTTACAGCCGCCTTGGCAAGTGCTTTTGCAATTATTTCCACAGCAGATAGACCAGATGTACTCAAAAGCTCCTCAGCAGCATCCTTGAAAGAAGGAATAACACTGAACGTGGGAAAAAAAAAAGGCGGTACAACATTATAAGATGACTACAGTTTAGGTGCCATATATAGGTAAATGGAGAGTTTTATAAAACGTACTACCTGTTGGATATTTGGGTGATAGCTTCTGCTGTCTCAACACCAACTGCTTTGGCAACATCAGCAGGCTGGGGGGCAGATAAGTGCTCAAATTTAACACCAGAATCTCTTTCTATTCTATTGACACTGGCTTTCTTTGGATCATAAAGCATTACAGCAATCCCCGTATTTCCTGACATTAACATCAACCCTTAGATCAGTGTCTACAATGACAGCGGCTATATCAAACAAAATTAAAGAGCAACCATCAATATCACATACCAGCTCTGCCTGTCCGGCCTGAACGATGGATGTAGGCTTCAACATCTTTTGGAGGTTCACACTGCAGCAGCAACAACAACAACAACAAAGCCTTAGTTCCACATCGATTTGGGGTGGTGATTCACACAAACCCAAATATACAAAGAAAAGTTTACAGAAATAATTAGTCATAAATATCAAGTTTTACAATCATAATGCAAGACGAGTACAAGAAAACTATACTCACTTGGATGATAAGCTGCACATCATTAATATCCAGACCTCTTGCTGCTACATTTGTTGCTACCAATGTCATAAATTTTCCTGATCTAAATCCTTTAAGGGTGACCTAAAATTAGCAGATCACAGGTTCGTTAAAAAGTCCTTCCACATCTCATCAACAAGAGCTACTACATAGAGTTACTTCATTGATATACCTCTCGTTGTGTTTGTTGGATATCTCCATGCAAAGGTCGCGCTCCAGTCAACAACCCGGCAAGTCGAGAAGCGAATTCTTTTGTCTCTGTAAAAACAATTGAACGACCTCCACTGGATATACAGGAAAAAGAAATAAGTCGCTAGCTAGTAGGAGCCCAGGAGCTTCTGCATACAATCAACTAAAGGAAACAACAAACCAACCTGGAATAGCAACGGATTATATCTGGGATAAGATCAGCCATTGCAGAGGAAGAACATGGTATAACAATGTGCCTAACACTGGTGCTGGCCTTCATTTTCTGATCACTTACCAGATCTACGGTTTTCTTGGATGGCTTGAGAAAACATTGAGAAATCTTGACAAGACAACAGCTTTGTTTAGAACACAAAATAGTTATTTATCACCAAATTCTAATTTGAAGGCAAAACATTGATTTTATGCCGGACATCAATACACGACGATAATTTACACATAGATAAGAAGGTTTCATATCATTAAAATGTCGAGAAATACAAACCTTCTGGACCCAAGAGGGTAAGGTAGCACTAAAGAGAACTGTCTGAACTTTGTTAACATCATCAACTTTTCCTGAAAAAACAGTAGAAAGGTTGTCAAAAAAAATGTGGGAAAATGGTAATTACGGAGTAAAAATTTGACAAAAAGATGGATGGGGATGGAGGTACTACAAAGTACAAACTTAGCAAGGAATAAGATAGAAACTTTTAGGCAGACATCAATCAGTTTGAAATGGATTTAGTTTGATGTGGGCTACCTAATATTAGTTGAACATCTTCCATGAAACCCATTTTCATCATCTCATCAGCCTCGTCAAGGACACGGAATAGCAAGGAACCAAGTTTAAGAACACCCTTCTCTAAAAGATCCTATAAAGACATTCACAAACAAGTTAAGAAAAAGAGGCACAAGTGCAAGAATCAATTAAGCCGAGAGCTAAACATTAAACAATATCAGGTTTGCATGATATCATACAGACAAACAATACCTTTACACGACCAGGTGTCCCCACAACAATATCAACACCTCTATTTAAGCTGCTAATCTGAGAATGAAAGGGTGCTCCCCCGTATACACTACAAGCCGAGAGCCCTACGGCGCCTCCATAAACTTGAAAATCAGCAAGCACCTTCACACAAACAAAGAAGAAATAAACATGTGAACAAAATTAGATCTTAAATGTTAATCAATGTTGTGGAAATTAGGGACATAGAGGCAAAAACTTAATTGAAGTGCATCTTCTGCACAGTACCTGAGTTGCCAATTCCCTGGTGGGTAGGAGAACCAGGACGCTTGGTAGCCTTCCATGGCCAGTTTTCCTTAAACCTTTGGTGCGCCCATTCACTAAAGACTCTACTATTGGCAACACAAAAGCAAGTGTCTTACCCTGTATAATGACAATGAGTTAATTGTTTCAGCAAATAAAAGCCAATCAGAAATTTTGGCCAGCTATATACATACAACAATGCTTTGCAACATAAGAAGCAGGCAAGTAATGAGCTCAAGACCCTGTAGTTTCAGAACATTATCTCACTAAAACGGTAAAACCTCATAATAATAGTTAATAATCTTCCTTTCTCAAGTGACAAATACACTATACATCCATTGTCAAGAAATTATTGGATTTTGCTAATACCAAACCACCAAATAAGATTCTACTAGGTACATATCAAACTTGAATTAAGGTACTTAGCAAAAGCTATATAGTGTGAACTAACCAATTAACTTGCCTACCTAAACACCAAATTAAATTAAAAGACATTCAATCATCCTTTTATTCACATACTCATTGAATTTAACAATTCCCAAAACAGATTATTAGATGAACCTATAACAATGCCAATCACATAAAAAATTAAACTTTGAATTCCACACCTCTGCTTCCTTAACTAATCCTAGTAACATACTACATATAATAAAATCCCTAAATTAAACTTAGTGATAATTAATCCTGAAACCAATAAAATCATCCAACTATGTGTATTAAAAATTCTTCATACAAACCAATAATACACTATAATCAAGCTCAAGAATAAATTATCATACAAACACCATACTAAATAACTAATACAATCAAAATCAAATTTCATAAATCATTAAACAAAAATTTCAAGAATCAAAGCTCGAAAATTCGAAACATGAAAACACACCTGACCAGTACGAGCACGACCGACCAAATCAGACCCATCATAAACATCATTGAATGTCATAGCTTGAATGGGAAACAACGCCTTAATCCCTTTCGAAATCAAAGCATCCTTCAACGGTTTCGAAA